TTTCTCTGGAGCTTTGGAGCCTGTCCTGGAACTATCTCTTGTAGACCAAACTGGCCTCGAACTCAGAGATCGGCCTGCCTCTGCCTTCCGAGTGCTGGGATTAAAGATTTGCACCACCACCGCCCAGCTCTGCAAGTGATTTTTATGTGCCTACAGGGAATCAAAACTCTGGATCATCTCCTTAGCCTCTGTTAGTGACATTTCCAAAACAGATATTTTTAATTTATGGTAAAGATTCTAATGAAGACAAGTGAGATGATTCAGCTGATAAAAACCCTTGCTTCTCCAACCTGACAAACCCAAGTTCATCCCCAGATTCAGTGGAAGGACATTATTAATTTCCCAAAGGTTGTCTTCTAAATTCTCCACTCAAATACCACACAATAATTTAAAAAATTAAGATTCTGGTGAACTTCTTAGCAATTTAAAACACATATACTTTATTTTTAACTGTTAGAATGAAATGATATCTCAGTATGGTTATAAAGTCAGGTTATACTGGACATGGCAGAGCGCACAAGTAATCCCAGTACTTGGGAGGCAGAGTGGATCTTTGAGTTTGAGACCATCCTGGTCTTACAGTGAGTTCCAGGATAGCCAGGGCTATTACACAGAGAAGCTCTGTCTTGAAAAACGCCCCCCCCCCAAATAAAATCGGTTGACAGTTTTGCTGTTGTATTATGGTTGTAGAAACAATTACTGTAAGACAAGGGAAAATTCACATTTTTATTGCTACTAATGATTATATCAGTAACACCTATTTACTGAATATATAATACTGGGGTACAAGGTACAACTCCTCTAGGTTAGTAATGAAGGAACACAAGCCCTTAATAGATGAACTAACATCCCCAAAGGTCTACAGAGCTAGTTCCAGGACAGTTAGGGCTGTTACATGGAGAAACCCTGTCTCAACTCCCATCTCCCCCCCCAAAATGTGTCTGCTTTCTACCCCTCCAAAGTGAGTCTTATGAAAATAATTTTAAAACAGAGTATGCTTTCTTTGGCTTTTTCTTTGAAGAAGCATATTGTCCACAATGTTATAAGTTTCTGGGCGTTCTGTCTTTTCTCTTACCTGACTACTTTTTCAGACTTTTTTCATGGTGATTAGGTTTTTATATTTCAGTATATTTCTCAGAATGGTCTTAGTTTATCTGTTGATCTCCAGATTGTAACAGCTGACATTTATTATCACATACATTATCAAGAATCTACCAAAGTTAATCCCAGCACTTGGGAGGCAGAGGCAGGCAGATCTCTGTGAGTTCTAGACCAGCCTGGTCTACAAGAGCTAGTTCCAGGACAGGCTCCAAAACCACAGAGAAACCCTGTCTCAAAACCCAAACCAAAAACAAACAAACAAACAAAAAAAGAATCTACCAAAGGCATCAGCTTCAGGATATGGTGGCACCTGACAGTAATTCACAGCATGTGAGAGACTGAGGCAGGAGAATCATCACAGATTTTTAGGCTACCCTGGATTCAGTTCAAGACCTGTCTCAATAATTGATCAAGCAAATGAAAAGAACCCACTACAATCAGAGTGTTTCTCAATTATGGTTTAATAAAATTGTGAGCAAAATGTCCAAATAACACAGTTCTAAAGGCTTACTCAAGTGGTTATTGGCACACCTGTTTCTTGCCACATAAGCCTTGTCGGACTGCTCGAATATGCTTAGGACAGGGCTGCTGGCTTCAGTTAGAGGACATGAAGGCAGAAGCTGACCTAGCAAGTCACTCATGTTTACACCTTACTTATTAGAAATGAGTCACTGAGTCTAGTCCATACTCTAAGGAGGGGAATTAGACTTCACTCTCGAGAGAATGTATCAAAGCATTTGTGGACATATGTCCAATCTTAACAGTGATCTTTGACTTATGGGGAGGGAGCTTAGATAAGGGTTTTAATAGTGTAGCCAATGCTGATCTCTGACTCTGTCCTGGCCTTCCGTGTTGAAATTATAGGTATGCACCACTGTGCCTGGCCATTAGTGCAATTTCTAACTAGACAGTGCTCTGGGACTCTTTCATCCAAAGAGTCTTAGCTTTTAATATCTCTGTGCTGTTGACATAATGGAAGATTGTATCTTTAGCCCCAGATGTTTCCTTTAAGCTTGAGAGCCAGATGCCCAGGACACATTCCTTTTGAGTAATCTCAGATGTCTAAATCTGAACCCTTGAGCCCTTTTTTCTTCACTTTGACTAAAAATCTGCTTATTCACATTTTAGTAATTGCTGAGATCAGCAGTGTGGGGGTCATCTTTGACTCATGCTCCTTGACCCCTGCATCCAGCCATTATCGAGTACTATATAGTCTTGTTTTTTAATTGTATCTACTCACTGAACTACTGTCACCCTGATTTTAACCGCTATCCTAAATTGCACAAAATATCATTCTCCTAGATTTTCATGTCTTCTCACCCCTGCTTTGCTTCTGCTCTTGCCTTTTCTAGTTCATTATGTAAAAACCAGATAACTGATACTCATCTCTTACATTGAAAACCTAAATCTTGGCCAGGCAGTGGTGATGCACGCCTTTAATCCCAGCACTCGGGAGGCAGAGGCAGGTGAGTCTCTGTGAGTTTGAGGCCAGCCTGGTCTACAAGAGCTAGTTCCAGGACAGGCTCCAAAGCTACAGAGAAACCCTGTCTCTAAAACCGAAAAAGGAAAAAGAGAAAAGAAAATGTAAATCTTTCATAGAATCCTTGTCCTTTTTGTCTTTTAACTTTTTTTGTTGTATTACACTGTCATATTCTTCACAGTTCAGAAGCATTGCTCCCTATTTGTCTGATTCTCAGAAATTTTTGCATAGACTTTTAGCTTGATTTTCACATAGAAGCTTAAGTGTTAATCCTCAGTATTGCTTACAAGGGCCTTTCCATCTAGAATAGATCTGGACCCTCCAGGATTTCACATTTTTCCTATCTTGTACTTAGTGAAAATATGCTTACATTTCATTTTTTATTGCCTTACTCTATGTCAAAAGTATTTCCATCTTTTATTTTCTTCCCCAAGATGCAAGCCTCCCATAAACAACTTTGCCCCCGTGCTGTGATTGACCCTTGTCAGAGTATTTTAGCTGTCTCATTTAGTGTCTGTGAACTCCATAAGAGGTGTTTTTTTTTTCCGTTATGACTATATTCTTGGTGTTTGATATGTAGGCTGATGCATAAAAGAAGCTCTTAATGAATAATTGGGGAATAATATCAAATGGCAAGAACACTGTTTACATAAGACTTGAGAATTTGAGGGGATCTAATGAATTAGTTTTCTCTCCCTTTCTGCTGGTTCCTCTTATATTATGTGACCCTTGATCCCATTTGTATGTAAATGGAGTAATTTTTATGTCTTTTACATTCCTGTAGTTATCTTCTGTTTCTACTAATACCTAATAAAATTATGTTCATAGTTTAGCAGTGTTCTTAGTACAAATAATGTATTGATTTTATAGTTACCACAAGTTCTTAAACTATAAGAATTTCTCACAGTCAGTACTTTCCTCGTATATATACCAGACCATATCATAGACATGTTTGAGAAGAAGAAACTTTATTGAGTACCTGCTCTGTGCCACTGTAATCCTAAATACTTTACAACATATATGTATATTTCATTTTATATAGTATAATTAATATAGTGTATAGAGTAGCAATTAATAATGGAGTCTGAATTATAACTCTATCACTGTGTGTGATCTTTAATCTCTTCATCCCACTTCAGTTATACTTTTCTTGTGAAGCAGTTATGGGAACTTGTTAATTAATTGTCAGCCTCAGGTAGATAAGATCCTGTCCAAGGAAAGAACAAGCGGTAAGCAGTTGTATGTGGAGATTTTTTAAGCCAGTAAGGCATGGTGGTATATGGCTATGACCCTAGTGTTTGAAGGGCTGAGACAAGAAAACCACTGAGTTCCAGAGTTGTAGACCAGTCTAAGTTACATAGCAAGACCCTGTCTCAAAAAACAAGCAGCCTGGTAGTGGTGGCACACACCTTTAATCCCAGCACTTGGGAGGCAGAGGCAGGCAAACCTCTGTGAGTTTGAGGCCAACCTGGTCTACAGAACGAGTGCCAGGACAGGATCCAAAGGTACACAAAGGAGCCCTGTCTTGAAAAAAGAAAAACAAAAACAAAATCAAGCCGGGAGCGGGGGTGGTACACACCTCTAAACCCAGCATTCAGGAGGCAGAGGCAGGTGTCTCTCAGTGAGTTCAAGGCCAGCCTGGTCTACAGAGGGAGTTTCAGGACAGGCTCCAAATCTATACAGAGAAACCCTGTCTCAAAAAAAACAAACAAGAAAAGCATGTGCTGCCGCCACAGTCTTCTGTTTTCTTCTTAGTGTACTAAGGAACTTTCTTTGTGGATGGTAGTGATGGTCGAGTGAATAGCCCAGACTGCCTAGAACTGATAACCTTTCTGTCTCTGTGCTGTCCCTCCCCTCAAGTGCTAGAGTTAGAGGCATATACCACCATACCATACCCAGCTGAAACAGTCAATTTAGTAATTGAATAATTTTATTACATTTGAGCAACCAGAGAAAGCTATTAATGAGGATTTTTTCTTCTTTTTTCCCCCTCTTTTTCTTTTCTTTAGAGTTGGAGTTGTCTTTCTGTTATTCAGCTTGTCTTAGAACTCCTAGACCTGTCAGCTTCCCAAGTAGAGGGACCTTAACGTGTATCCAACACTGTACTAGTTGGTTGAGATTTAGTATGTTCATTGTGGCTGATTTGAGATTAGGAGAGATTACAACTTTGTACTAAATTATTTAAGCATTGTAATTACAGTGCCTTAAAAGTAGAGCTTTAATCTTTAAAAATGTCTTTCAACAGATCTGAGACTGTAGCTCATTGTAAGGCACTAGAGTTGATCCCCCAGTATACACCAAAAGTTTTAAAAATATATTTCTGCATTTAAAAGCTTGGTTAGGCTGGTTTTCCTCGCCACCCTCGAAAACTGCAAAATTTCATTATATTCATTGCCTTGTTTGTTCGTTTATTTTCCAGGAATCTGAAGAAAACAGCTTGTGAAAGTCATCGTCTAGCGATTTGTTCTTCTGTAAGGAAATCTCATTCAGTAAAGGCATTTAAATTAGTGAAATAGTAGGACCAGTAAATCAAAGTGGCAGTGTACAGGATACGTGGACATTGAACAATGACTCAGCTTTATACTTACATCAGATTATTGGGAGCCTGTCTTTCCATCATTTCTCATGTTCAAGGTAAATTGATGTTTATTTAATAAGTCATTTCTGTATATATAAAGCACTTAAATGCCTTGATCTGCTTTTAGTTCCTGTTCCTTTTTAAACAGGTCATCCATACCAACACAACTCTTAAGTGAAGAAGCAAAGAAAAAACACGCCAAAAGAAAGTGTGAACTTTGTATAGACACCTTTTTAACAACCTTAGCCTCTCTGAACCTTTGTTCTTATATGTAACACAGGCATGAGGTTTGTCTAGTGAGGATCAGATGAGATTAAGTATAAATAGTCTGCAGTTTAGTGCCTAAAGCACAAAACAGTAGTTCTTGAGACTGAGCTTTAAAATTCCTGTCTCTCTGAAAACACAACAAAGAATAAGCACAAATAATAATTCAAAATTTGTTTTATTTTCATGAGAAGACTTTGGAAAATAAATGCACTTGTTTGTCTATGCTGAGTTCTAAAATTTCTCCGTAGAGTCTAAGCAGTTTATTTGTGGCCTCTGTTATGTACCGTGTGTTCATAGATTAAATAGAGGTTAATAGTGATGTCTACTACTATTATGTGAACTGTATTTGCATACAACCCCCCCCCCACAAGTAGTTTATTTAGGACAGTAATTTAACTGAAAAGTTAACATTGCTTTATAGAAGGTTTTGAGGTAGATCTCACCTCTATCTTTTTTCTGTTTTAGAATTAAATTTTTGTATATATGTGTGTTAGTGTTTGTGCACATTGTGTGTACCTACTTGTGTTGATCAGTGTTGGCACTGGGTGTCTTCCCCACCTATTGTCATCTGAGAAAGGGTGTCCAACTAAACCTAGAGCTTTCTAATTGGCTAGATTTGCTTTCCATCTTCCCAGTCCCTGTCCTGCCATCTTCATTTTTATAAGTTGTAATTTTCTATATAGTACTGAATGATAAGGATTATTTTTTACCCACATGAGGAAATTTGGATTATAGTATTAAGCTTTTTAAAATTTTTGTGTTACTGCATGAGCATGAAATGAAATCTCTACCTTCTTTGTATTTGCCTTATTGTTGCTTTGCTCAGAACCCAGAGCCCCCTCATCTCAAGCCACTTTATCTGTGAAATACGAGAATACGTAATATAATGCCTTTCTGTTAGGTTTTGCTGATCACTATGAACCAGAGTTGTCATGATTGTGAAGATAGATTAATAATTTCCATTTTGCTAAACAAAATGCTTTATGCTGTTCGGGTCATATATAGATAGTTAGTATGGTACACACCTCTCTCTTTTTTAATTTTCTCATATATTACACCCTGACTACTGTTTCCTCTCTCTCCTTTCCTCCTAGTTCATTCTCCTTGCCACCTCCCTGTTCCCCAAGATCTACTCCTCCTCCTTTCCCTTCATAAAAGAGCAGGCCGCCTTGGCTATCAATCCAACATAGTATAACAACTTACAACAAGACTAGGCACATCCCTTCATTAAGACTGAATGAGGCAACTCAGTAACAGAAAAGCATTTCCAAAAGCAGGGAAGAGTCTGAAACAGCCCCCACTCCGTCTGTTGGGAGTCCTACAAGAATATCAAACTACACAGCCGTAACATATGCAGAGAACCTAGGTCAGACACATACAAGCCCTCTGATTGCCAGTTCGGTCTCTTTGAGCCCCTATGAGCCCTGCTTAGTTGATTCTGTGGGCTGTTTTCTTGTGGTATCCTTTACCCCTCTGGCTTATACAATCCTTCCCTCCCTGTCTTTTGCAGGATTCCCTGAGCTTGCCTAATTTTGGCTGTGGGTCTCTGCATCTGTTCCCATAAGTTGCTGGATGAAGCCTCTCTAATGACGATTATGCTAGGTTCTGGTCTACAAGTATAGCAGAGTATCATTAGGAATCATTTAATTGACTTTTTTTTTTTTGTCAGTTGTATTCAGTTCTATCCTAGGTCTCTGAATTACTCAGTTTACGTGGCCTGACTCTCCAGGCAGTGGCAGGTCTGGGCTATCTGTTATGACATGAATCTCAAGTTGGATCAGTCATTGGTTGGTTACTCCCACCCAAGATGTGACACCCTTACCCCAGCACATTTTGCAGGAGGGGCAAATAGTAGGTCAAAGCATTTGTGACTGATTTGGTGTCCCACTCTCTCCATTGGAAGCCTTGCCTGGTTACAGAAGATGGCTGGGTCAGGCTCCATATCCTCCATTACTAGGGTCATCCTCGTAGATGCCTAGGAGTTTACACTGCACTATGTTTTTACCTCATGCATGAAATGATCCCAGTTCTAGTCATCTCTCCCAGTACTCTCCCTTAGCCCCTGCTACCCATTCTCTCCTGTTCCCATCCCCACCAACTCCAGTCTACCCAGAAAAATCTATTTCCTCTTCCCATGTACAACGCCCCCCCCCCCCAACCCGCCTTGTTACTTAGTCCCTCTGGGTGTATGGATTGTAGTGCGATAATCCTTTACTTAATAGTTAATATCCATTTGTAAGTGGTCACATGCCATGTTTGTCTTTTGGGTCTGGGTTACCTCACTCAGAACGATTTTTTTCTAGTTTCATCATTTGCCAGCAAATTTAATGATGTCATTGTTATTAACAGCTGAGTAATATTCCATTGTGTAAATGTACCGTATTTTGTTTATCCATTCTTCAGTTGAGGAACATCTAGGTTGTTTCCAGGTTCTGGCTATTAAGATTAAAGCTGCTATGAACATAGTTGAACAAGTATCCTTGTGGTAGGGTAGAGCGCCCTTTGGGTATACTATGCCCAGAAGTGGTATAGCTGGGTCTTGAAGTAGATGGATTCCCAATTTTCTGAGAAACTACCATATTGATTTCCAATGTGGTTGTATTAGTTTGCACTCGCATCAGCAGTGGAGAAGCATTCCCTTGCTCCGCATCTTTTTCAGCATGAACTATCACTTGTCTTTGATCTTCACCATTCTGAAAGGTATAAGATGGAATCTTGAAGTCATTTTGATTTGTATTTCTTTGATGGCTAGGGATGTTGAATGTTTCTTTAAGTGTTTTTTGGCCATTTGAGATTCCACTATTGAGAATTCTGTTTAAATCTGTATATCACATTTTTTAGTTGGAATATTTACTTTGTTGATGTTTAGTTCCTTGAGCTCAAGTTGTTCCATAGTAAGCTTATATTGAGTGGAATATTCTCGCATGATTTACACTTCTAGTCAGGAGTGGTAGCACACACCTTTAATCCCTGGACTCGTAGGCAGAGGCAGGCAGATCTCTTATGTTCAGTGCCAACCTGGTCTATATAGTGTGATCTAGAACAACCAGCGCTGCACGTAAGACTGACTATCTAAAAAACAAAACAAAAAACAAAACCAACCACACAAAGAATTAATGTGTGCTAAAGATCAAAACTTTTTTATGTGTCGTTTGAAAAAAATTTTGCAGATAATTTCTGCTATATGAATGCTGTGATTATAAGTGTTTGCCCCCACATCGCTATGGGCAACATCTTCTTTGCTATATTTGTTGTCATTGATGTTGTGTAAGAGGCAAGGGGTTTGTTATACTATAGCATAGGCTGTCCTCAAACTCCTGTCTCAGTCTCCCAAGGATTGTAATTACAGGTGTGTATCACCCAAGTTTGGATTCCACCACACACTTTTGTCCTCTATGGTTAAATTGATCCTTTTGTTTTGTTTTGTTATTGTTACTATATCAGGATTTTAAAACCTTGAGTCTATTGCCTTCTCTCTCTCTTTCTCTCTCTCTCTCGTTTTGTTTCTTGAGACAGGGTTTCTCTGTAGCTTTGGAGCCTGTCTTGAAGAACTAGCTCTCGTAGACCAGGCTGGCCTCGAACTCACAGAGATCTACCTGCCTCTGCTTCTGTGTTCCAAGTGCTGGGATTAAAGGTGTATGCCACCACCTCCCAGCCCTACTGCCTTCTTAAATAAGTGAATACTGGAGAACTTATGTAGTTTATAAACATTATTCACCTACCTAATTAGGAAAACTCACAAGAGACCAGAATGTCTCTCATTTGTAGCATGGCGGATTTCTCCCTTCTCATACCCTACCATTCTTCTCCATCTTTTACAGTTGATGTTGTTAAAATAAATGAGGCTTTTTCCATTTTTTAGCCGTTTGGATGATCATCAGAAGCTTTGCCACAGTGTTAACAGTACTTCCATCTGAAAGGACGTCATGGTGAGGGGCTGAGGAACACATATGTATACAAATCTTACCTTTGAAGGATATTTGTCGGTCTCCACTGTTTTATAAACTGACTTTGGGGTACTGACTGTGGGAGGTTAAATTTGTTCTCTAAACTTACTCTGTCTCCTGCTTGCCAGCACATGGCACCTCAATCTCAGCAGTAACCAAGGCGATTCTTGGGCCAAAAGCCGTTTTTTCTTTACTTTTCCTACCCATTTAGCAAGCAATAAAAGTTGTATCTATCACGCTTACAGATTTTAAATATCTCTGCCTTTGTTTCTGCTCCACTCTAACTCCCTTTGCCTACATATATAACTGAATACTTTTTCCTTATCCCATATATACTGATTTACAAATTTTTACTCCCGATTTAAATTTTGTCCTGCTTCTCTACGTTTCTTTAAATTCTGATCTCTATTTTTGAGCGCTCAGTACTCACATATCCAGCTGTGATCAGATTTTCTCTCATGGGTTCCTCACGTCTGGTCATTTCTTTTTTGTTTTTTGGGAGGTTCATAGATCAGCCCCACGTTCAGCGCCATTAAGTCTCTTGAGCAGACCCCAATATAAACTATCTCTCCCTGGACCTGCGTGGAGGTGCGAGAATAAAGACACAACTCACATGGCTTTATCGGGAGGGAGATTCTCAGTGGTCCCTCATGAAGTCCTGAGTTTACATGCTAGAGAATTCCTCCTGCTTTATTCTCCAAATAGCATTTTGTCTCCTAGGTAACCAGGTGAATGGCTTTTAGTCACATCCACAACTACCTGTCTGCTGTATATGCTAGCTGGCACATAGGCTTGAATTAGCATCTCTATCAGGCATCCTCCAAATTACAAAGAAAGGAGCAAAACAACATTTTGACTTTTTGTTAGGTTAGCAACAACCTGTCTGAAAGGTTACGTGACCATCTCAGGTGTCGTCAATGGCTTTAGAGCCTAGCTGCCATACCATATAGAAATATGGGCCTACAGATATTCCTTTTCAGTATTTGTTTCTATTAACAAATACTTATTCAGAAGTAAATTTCTTTCCTGAATATTAAGTATGAGAAACTTAAGGTCATTGCAATTCAAGTTATGGTCAGATGGTCATGGTGAACAACTTTGATTCCAATACTGGGGAGGCAGAGGCAGAGGCAGGCAGATCTCTGACTTGGAGGCCAGCCTAATCTAGAGTGACTTCTAGGACAGCCATGACTAAACAGAGAAACCCTGTCTCAGAAAGCAAAGAAACAAGCAATAATAATAATAATCCAAATTATGGAATTTATAACTCTTACACTCTGCTTTCTTGCTGTCAGTGTGTATGTGCTATTTTCCTCATTTCTGTAGTTTATCAGTATTGTTAAGTTTAAAATTGAGTTTAGTACTGAACCACTTCATTTTTATAGTGAAATTCTTGCTTATCTAATCCTTTTGGCTCTACCATTTTTTCTTTTTTTCTTTTCTTTTCTTTTTCTTTTTTCTTTTTTTGGTTTTTCGAGACAGGGTTTCTCTGTGGTTTTGGAGCCTGTCCTGGAACTAGCTCTTGTAGACCAGGCTGGTCTCGAACTCACAGAGATCCGCCTGCCTCTGCCTCCCAAGTGCTGGGATTAAAGGCGTGCGCCACCACCGCCCGACTACCATTCTTTCTCTTGGAAGGGCCAGGTGATTTCACCTGAAAAATTCAGAGCTGTGTATGTTGTTACCTGTCATTTGATGCCAGAAACTCTGTAATGCAAGATCCCTATTTTATTATATAAGCTTTTGGCAACTTTTACTTTCTATAGCATGGTCTGGATTCAAACCAGTTACCCTGGGATGAAAGAAAGAAAACAGGATTTGTTTCATGTTTTCACAGTTACCTTAATTAGGCAGTTCGAGTTCTCTGAAAGGTGCTTAGTAGCTCCATTTTCAGAGAAACATTCAAAAAGAATTTTTGAAATATAGTTATAAATTTGAACCAAAAAATTAGAGGAGTTGTGCAACCCCCCCCCCTTCTGAAATCATTGGAAATTTTCTCAGCTTTTCCTGAAATCTCTCTCCGTTTTCTACCTAGTAAATTGAAGCTGTCACAGAAGGCTGGAGGTCCCATTGCATGAATGTCACAAATATGACAGGGGCGGATTCCTGAGTGTTGGCAACTCTGTACTCCTTAGTTCCATAGGCTTATGGGTCATGTTTTCAGAGGAGACTTCAGATTCCAGACTTTGAGAATTCCAGACTCTGAATGCTCTTGATACTCAGATCAGAACGTACTCTGGCCTTGAAAACTAGTCCTCAGCAGCTAGTATTGTAGACCTCTAGCCTAAGACATCTGATCCCCTGGCTCTTAATCCTTGGATACTTTCAGGAACTCTTCAGCTACCTAGGATCCCTAACTTAGCTTTTCATGCTTTCTCACCAACTCAGTGTGTCTGTAGTACTTGAGAGTCTCTGGCGTCTGCCTCTATAGCCTGCCTCAGTGTGTCTGCAGTCCTTCAGACTCTCTGGGGTCTGTCTCTGGCCACTGTGGAACTCTTAGCAACCTCTTAACTCTTAATTTTGATTCTGGTTCAAAACTTAGGAAGCTTTTTTTTTTTTTAAGTCCTTTATGAATACCTACATGATAAAGGAGCCTGGAGCACTTGTGAGGAGTGAGGGCTCCTGAAGCTGGGTTGTGACTTCAGCAGTAGCAGTGGTTCCTTCCAGTGGTACCTGCAGCTGCTATGGAGTTTCCTCAGAGGAATCCCTGGAGTGTTCAAAACAGCTGCTCTGTCATAGTGACAGCACTGCTAGTTAGGAAACCAGGGAGAGGCCTACAGTTGTTAATCAAATTGCCAGTTGGCTGTTTCAAATAGTTTAGCTTATTTAAAGAAAAATTAAAACACTAAAGGGCCCTTATAGTAGGGACCTGTCCTGGAATTAAAATTCTCAAAAGTGTTTACCAGTGCTTAGCTCTTAGCTAAGTACCTTTGCAGTGGGGTTTCCTCTGCTCTATTTGTATGTCTTTCATTGGTATACGACTTGTAACTGGGCAGTCTCCTTACATCCTGCTGCATCTGGTAGTTCTGTATATATAATAGTTTATAAGTTGGTATTATCAAACTTACTTTAAGATGTATTAACTGCAGTTATGATAAGAAAACTCAGAAGCTTTTTTATTGAAGACTCTAATTCAACAACTTTTCAAGAATGATTATTTACAAATTTCATTTTTTAATACAGGGCAGAATCTAGACAGTATGCTCCATGGTACTGGTGTGAAATCAGATTTGGACCAGAAGAAGCCAGACAATGGAGTGACGTTAGCACCAGAGGATACCTTGCCTTTCTTAAAGTGCTATTGCTCAGGACACTGCCCAGATGATGCCATTAATAACACGTGCATGTAAGTATTTGGTTCCGTCCTTAAGAGTTAGATGAAAAGTATACTCGAACAAGTTTTTCCCCCCATTTGTATATGGTAACTTTATAAAGAAAAAGAAAATTCCTGCTGGGCGGTGGCGGCGCACGCCTTTAATCCCAGCCCTCGGGAGGCAGAGGCAGGCGGATCTCTGTGAGTTCGAGGCCAGCCTGGTCTACAAGAGCTAGTTCCAGGACAGGCTCCAAAGCCACAGAGAAACCCTGTCTCGAAAAACGCCCCCCAAAAAAAAGAAAAGAAAAGAAAATTCCTGATTTAAATATAGAAATATTGTTATCCATCATTAAACAATTGATGATCATTAGTTGTATCATGATACAGCTAATTTATATGTTTTGATTTTTGAAACAGGGTCTCTTTACATAGATCTGGCTATCCTGGAACTCACTATGTAGACCAGGCTAGCCTTAAACTCACAGAGATCCACCTGCATCTACTTACTACCTTGTGCTGATATTAAAGGCATGTAGCACCATGTCTGCCTTATTTTTCTTTTCTTTCGTGACCATTTTAATCATGAACTTAATGACTGAGCAGGTAGAAGTGCCTGCTGTCTAAGACTGACAATCTGAGATCTTTTCTTGGAACCCACATAAAAAAAAAAAAGAGAGAAGAGACTACTGCAAATTGTTCTCTGATCTCTTTACGTACATCTACACATATTATGAATACATAATATATGTGTGTGTGTTTAAAAAATATGAACTCAGCCGGGCGGTGGTGGTGCACGCCTTTAATCCTAGAAAACAAAACGTTTTCTGTTTTGTAGATTACCAAAAAAAAAATAGTTTACCCAGTGTCTCCTTAGCCGGTTGCAGTAATGCATAGGTGTACAGGAACAGTGTTGTGACAGTTTTGTTATTTCTCTGTGGACTTTTAGTCCACATCTGTTTTATATGACTTTTCATTTCCTACTTAGTTTTATGTCAACCATTCAATGTTAACCATTCAACCCACTTATGGATGGTCATGTAACTTGAGTTCTTTTTTTTTTTTTTTTTTTTTTTTTAATTTTTGAGACAGGGTTTCTCTGTAGCTTTTTGGTTCCTGTCCTGGAACTAGCTCTTGTAGTCCGGGCTGGCCTCGAACTCACAGAGATCCGCCTGCCTCTGCCTCCCGAGTGCTAGGATTAAAGGCGTGCGCCACCACCGCCCGGCTGAGTTCATATTTTTTAAACACACACACATATATTATATATTCATAATATGTGTAGATGTACGTAAAGAGATCAGAGAACACTTTGCAGTAGTCTCTTCTCTCTTTTTTTATGTGGGTTCCAAGAAAAGATCTCAGATTGTCAGTCTTAGACAGCAGGCACTTCTACCTGGTCAGTCATCCTCTGGCCCATAGTCTATATCTTGGGGCCCATTGAAGAATTGAGTTTCTGAATCATACCTCCTCCCCTGCGAGAAAACAAAAAATAAAGTGCAATTCAGTTTCATCAGTCAATTGTCTTTTTGTTGTAGCAGTAATAATGAAGGCCAAGTTTTGTAGTTCACTAACATTCTGTGCTCTTTGTATAAACTAGACAATGCCTAAACTTGGTCTGTGAAATTATATTATTTTCCTTTCTACATTTGCTAAGGAAAAAACTCAAGGACACTGACATTAAACTGGTAGAACGTCATGAAACTAAAATATATATAAAAAATTTTTTAAAATGAAGTTATTGAGACCGTTTGTTTTCCTGCCACATTCACTACAACGTACCTTTTAGAATCTTAGTCGTCTGTTTTTCCTAAGACGTGTCACTGTGTTACTGGGGGCTGCCGAATGTTGCATAGACGAGTTTGTTTTCATCTGTCACCATGTATATGTGACTAGCAGAGCAGTTTATAACAGCATACACACAGAGCATTTACTTAGTAGAACTCCCTTCCTACTTGACATAGAGTTCTCATTGCCCCTTTAAGCCTTAGTTGAAGCACACTACCCTTGATTTAGCTTATTTCTAAATTGATTTTGCTAATAAATCATATAACATGCAGTTTAAATGCAAAAAAAACAAGGTACTGAAGGACATATTCAATTCACATATGTTCAGTTCTTTTGTGAGTCTTTTAAAATTTTTTATATTTATTTGGTATGTATGTGTATTACACACATGTGCACATGCTAGCTTGCCAGAATTAGTTATTTCCTCCACCATGTGGATGCTGGAGATCAAACTAAGTCTTCAGGCTTGGTGACAGTGCCCTTAACTACTTAGCTGTCTCTCTGGCATTCTTTATTAAAGTCTCTCTATTTAGCTCAGGGTGACCTGAAATGCAAGATCCACCTGCTTTAGCCTGAATGTATTCTGGATGTGTATCAACCATGCCCTGTTCTTTCTAATATGGAATTGTATTTTTTTTTTTCTCTATTGTAGAACTAATGGGCATTGCTTTGCCATTATAGAAGAAGATGATCAGGGAGAAACCACATTAGCTTCTGGGTGTATGAAGTATGAAGGCTCTGATTTTCAGTGCAAGGTGAGATCTAATTGTCACCATGAAATAAAGAAGGGTACAACTTGGTGAACAGCATGGAGTCCTCTAGCAGGAGTGGACTGCTCGTCATACTACTGCATGCTCACAAAACAGATTTGCTGAAGAAAGCCTGGCTTGTTAAATAATAGGATTTTACTAATTGAAGTGCTGGATTGCTTTACTTTAAGAAAGTTTTAATGCAAAAAATGATAGTCACATTTATTTCTGGAGTGTAAGGTTTACTGAGAAGATTTTAAGATAATGAATAGTAACCTTTTCCCCCCAAGACAACAATATTGAATTCTCGTTGTAATATGTGGTGATTTGAATAAGATGTCTTCCATAGTCTCAGGCATTTGAATACTTGATTCCCAGTTGTCTGTACTGTTCGGGAGAACATAGGGTATGTGACTTTGTTGGATGAAGTGTGTCACTGAAGTCAGGCTTTAAAAGTATAAAACCTCATCTGTGAGTTTGAGGCCAACCTGGTCTACAGAGTAATTTCTAGGACATCTTGGATTACACAGAAGAACCCTGTCTTAAAAAACAAGAGTATAAAAGTTCACATTCTGCTAGTTCTCTCTGCTTTCTTCTTGCCATTTGAGATGTGGGCGCTTAGTTTCTGCTTCTGCTGCCATGCCTTTCCTCTACCATCATATACTCTTTAACTCTCTAGAGCCGCTAACCAAAATGAACTCAGTGTTCTGTGAGTTTTTTGGTCATGGTTTGATTACAGAAGTAGAAGAGAATAAATACAAGGTTTCTATGCAGCTGTTTGAAAGAGCAGTAGCAGAGAGGATTCCTTCAGATTTTTCTAATTGTATATGTGAACTTTTTTAAGAGATCCTGCCAGTGTTTCTCAAAAACAGCTCTGTATAGAACAGAATATAATGTCAGCTTTGTCTACAAATTAATTCTGTTCAGAACTGGTTGGGTTCATAGAAAAGTTCAGTGATAGGTTTATACTTGAAGTCATTGGGCAAGTGACTGAGTTTCATCCCCCATCTCTGGTTGCACAAAAAGACCTGACCTCTCAAAATCACAACCTTTTAGCATGCAGGCAGAATTGTTTCCATACTACTTCCTCCACACATCTTCTCATCTTTTAAAAAAATAGCTCATAGTATAAGCCGCCCCTTATTTAGTTAGTTCTGTTATTCACTAACCCTCCTTTTTCTTTTTCTGAATGCAGCCACATGTGCTTTGGCAATTGTGCTGTATTTGCAAGGCATTGAACTTTTGCCTACTAAACCCTTATGTCTTTGACTCACTCTGCTTCCATGCCACACCTCCTCCACTCTTCCTAGTAATGTTGATTCTTTGATACAAGTGGATGGGGATGGAATAGTTTTGTTGCTTTTCTTGTATTTGTATTTGTTCAGATTTGAGCCAGGTGGTGGTGGCGCACGCCTTTAATCCCAGCACTCAGGAGGCAGAGGCAGGTGGATCTCTGAGAGTTGTAGCTAGATCTATAACAGAGTGAATTTTAGGGTAGCCAGGGCTGTTACACAGAGAAACCCTGTCTTGAAAAAGAACAACAACAAAGAACAACCAAAAAAAGGAAGCATTTGTTCATTTTTATGTTTAAAAGTATGATAATTAGGGGCTGGAGAGATGGCTCAGTGGTTAAGAGCACAGGCTGCTCTTCCAGAGATCCTGAGTTCAATTCCCAGCACCCACATGGTGACTCACTTACAGGGAGCGGGGCCCCTTGTTCCAGCCGCCTGGCTAGCTTACACCTGAAATAATCACACAGAAACTCTGACTTTGCTTTCTTCCTTTTATTGACTAAAAAAGAAACTGCTTTGGGCCTGGTGATAGGGCAGAACTTAGGTAAGCAGGGAGACAGAACTGAATTCTGGGAGGAAGAAAGCAGAGTCAGAGTGAGAGAGCCTCCATGGAGACGCCAGGTCAGACATGCTAAATCTTTCCCTGTAAGCCATGACCTCATGGTGAACACAGATTAATAGAAATGGGTTAAATCAAAATGTGACGGTTAGCCAATAGGAGGCTAGAGATAACGGCCAAGCAATGTTTTAATTAATACAGTTTCTGTGGGAAAAAAAGAGGGGGAAGTGGTGTGGGACAATTATCTATTCTGTCAATTATGTTTTAAATACTGATTGGTCAGTAGCCAGGCAGGAAATAAAGGCGGGACAACCAGACAGGAAGTAGAGGTGGGTAAAAGAGAACAGGAGAATTCTGAGAAGGAGGAAGGAAGCCCATTCCTTCCCAGTCCTGTCCAGATAGCCCAGAAGCAGGATGTGACCTGCCTGCCGAAAAAGGTACTGAGCCATGCGGCTAACATAGATAAGAATAATGGGCTAATATAAGTTATAAAAGCTAATACAAAGCCTGAGCTAATGGGCCAATCAGTTTATAACATATGGAGACCTCTGTGTGATTTTCTTTGGGGCTTACCTGCTGTGGGAACTGGGCAGGACAGAATCCCCAACAAGCAGGTCCACATGTTACAGCTCACAACCATCTGTAATGAGATCTGGCACCCTCTTCTGGCATGTGTGGGCATACATGGAGACAGAACACTATATGCATAATAAAGAAATAAATCTTTTAAAATAAAAGTATGATAATGATACCCACCTTTAATTCCAGCAATTTGGCAGATACAGGCAGATCTCTGAGTCTGAGGCCTTTCAGGGTTACATAGTGAGACCCTGTCTCAGGAAAGAAAATGAAGAAGATAATCAGTATCAAGTTGCTATGTTTATTTTCTACTTAATAGACCAAAGAGTAATGTAATAGGTCTGATTTAGAATATATTAATACCTTCTTGGCTGTGCTTAAATTTGTGGTAAAAGCTGTTAGCTGTCATTCTAAAATAGTATATTATTTTAAAAAAAATTATTTAAGCAGAGTTTGGTGGCACATGCCATTGATTCCAGGACTTAGGAGACAAGATCTCTGAGTTTGAAGCCAGCCTGTTCTACATTGTGGGTTCCAGTCAGGCAGCTGTCTCTTGTCTGTCTGTCTCTGTCTCTGTCTCTCATTATACCATGCTGCCTTCTCTCTTCCCCAATCTTTCAAGTTCTGCCTGTCTCTGCAGTGTCATACTTAGAAGTATCTTCATCTTCCTCCTTCTCCCTGGTTAGAAGGTGTGAACCACATGGCCGTCAGTGTGGCTTTGGAGCATTAGTCACCCTTGCCTGGTGCACTCTGCTCTTATTCTTGTAGTCACCCTTGGTGGGAAGACGGAGGCAAAGGAGGAATTGAAGATTGGGCTCCTGCTTCCGTCCTGTGCTACTACTGGGCAATAATCCCTGGCTTAGAGACCTCTTACCCATGATTGCTGAGGATGACCTTTCTTTGCTTCCTTTCAGTTTGCCTTCTGCTAGCTGTCCTTACAGCCTTCTGGGACTGACTGCTTGGCACTTAATTTATTCATCTTCAGTTGTACATTCCTTTCTTTATGCTCATTTTCTCTAGACATGGGATTATTTCAGTGTTTGCAGTATAAACCCTATCATACCTCTTTTCTCTTTAAGGATAATTTCAAATGAAAAACTGTCTTTAAAAAGTCAGTTAAAATGTAGAATTTATTCATTTGGAAATTTCTAAATGTTACTGACTGTCTTCCCAGATGGGATTTCCAGCCATAGACCCTTGGTCACCTCATTTTTGGGGGGGAGGGAGGAGGTAGAGGCATGGTCTCTCTGTGTAGCTTTGGAGACTGTCCTGGAACTTGCTTTTGTAGCCCAGGTTGGCCTCGAACTCAATGAGATCCATCTGCCTCTGCCTCTGCCTCCCGAGTGCTGGGATTAAAGGCATGTGCCGCTACTACCTAGCCTTGGTCACCTTTTTAAATAACACCTGATTATGCTGAGGCATTTCCTTTTTGGCCAGCTGATATTTCTGCTTACATTCTTGCTACTTTCATAATCATGAACAGGAAAGATGAACTTAACTCCAATTAAATTTTTTGGATTGTACTTCATTCTTTTATATTCAGGAATACTCATAGTTTTCTTGTTTTAGAATAGTGAACTTTTTATGTCTGAATTTGAAAGGCAGATTCCTAGATAATGTAACCTGTCTAGTTTAAAGATTTGGGGGATTATCTGTGAAACATGTTAGTAATCAATTCATATTTTGGCTCAGAATGGTATTACACCCAGGTATCACTTAAATATCAATATGTAATCCCTAATATCTGCTTCCATGACTAAAGTCTTTGTGCTTGCTTTCTTAAGTTTTACAGTATACTTTCTTTCTGACTTGTGAGCCATAATCACCTCCTTTAACAGGTACCCCCACTCCAACTTGATTAGAATACCTCTACTTCGTAGTCTGATCTTAATCTCATCCAAATCTTAATACTACTGTGATTGTATTTTTCCAACAGGTTTATGATTCTAATAAAATACTGTGTTTTCTGTAACAGGAGGGAGCGGGCCTGCTTTTGGTCCTGGCCTCCCAGCTAGTTTACACCTGAAATAATCACACAGAAACTGTATTCATTTAAATACTGCATGGCCCATTATCTCTAGCCTCTTATTGGCTAACTCTCACATATTAGTTTAACCCATCTCCATTAATGTGTATCGCCACTCCACTTGACTGTGTCTTACCAGCAAAACTCTAACCAGCGTCCATCTTAGGCAGGAGAACCATGGTGTCTGCCACACTGCCCTTCCCAGCATTCAGTTCAGTCTACTCCACCTAAGCTCTGCCCTATAAAAAGGCCAAGACAGTTTCTTTATTCAACCAATGAAAGCAACACATAGAAGAACATCCTACACCAGTTTTCTAGCAGATAATTACTTTTTAAAGCTAAAAGCAGCTAGCTGAATGATAATTTAAACGTACCAACATTTAACATTAAAAATCATTAAAATTATTTTGTTCCTCTATAATTTATAATCTAGTGTCTTTATCAACCCATATAATCTTAAGGAAAATTATCTCACAATCTTACTTTCACAAAAAAAATTAAATTTTCAGTAATATTTTTGTTGTTTTTGGAGACGGGGTTTCTCTGTATAACAGCCCTAACTGTCCTAGAACTCACAGAGATCTGCCTGCCTCCTGCCTTCCACCCTCTGAGTTTCCTCAAGTTCTGTGAGCCGTCATTCCCAGCTAATTTTGGGGGATGGGGGGTTGAGACAGGGTTTTTTTGTAGCTTTTGGAGTCTTTCCTGGAACTCACTCTGTAGACCAGACTGGCCTCGAACTCAGATATCTGCCTGTCTCTGCCTCCTGAGTGCTGGGATTAAAGGCATGCACCATCACTGCCCAGCCAAGCTAATATTTTTTAACTTAGGGTTGGTGAGTTTTTCTCTGACTGAATTATAAATTATATTTACCAATACTAAAGATGTCTATGTTCAATTTAATATGTCAAGTGCTTTAATTTTACTATTACTTTTCTTAAAGGATTCACCAAAAGCCCAGCTACGCAGGACAATAGAATGTTGTCGGACCAATTTATGCAACCAATATTTGCAACCTACACTGCCTCCTGTGGTTATAGGTAGGTCATCCCAGAAGAGTTCAGGCATGATTCTCTGTAACTTCTTTTCTTTGTCTTTAACAATAACTAAGCTACTTAGAACTCAGTCCTCTCAGTGATTCTCTCCTTTTTTGTAAGATGCAGCAGAAACATGCTATACTTGCTTCATTGTTGACTTCCATCCTCAGGTCCATTTTTTGATGGCAGCATTCGATGGCTGGTTGTGCTCATTTCCATGGCTGTCTGTATAGTCGCAATGATCATCTTCTCCAGCTGCTTTTGTTACAAGTAAGAAGATACTTATTTTTATGTAAAACATAAAATGGTTAATTATTCTATATTAGCAATCTTTTTTGTGTTTAAACTAACAAGTTAAAAAACACTGTTGTGTGCAATTCAGATATCATTAATTTGTATTCTCTGATAACAGCTTTTCAACTGTTACAACTTCCTTAGAAGGAAAGATGAATTTAACTCCAACTAATTTTTTTTTGGATGTTACTTCATCCACTTATGTTCAGGAATACTCAGGCATTCTTGTTACAATAGTGAGCTTTGTTATGTCTGAATTTTAAAAGCAGATTTCTAGATAATGTAACCTGTCTCATTTAAAAATTTGGGGGATTATCTGTGAAACAGGTTAGTAATCCCATAAATAAATTTGTATATAAGGAATTTAACAATATGATGAAGTTGTCAATTTTAAGAACCTGGAGAAAGGGGCCTGGGGTGTGACTCAGTGGTAAAGTACATACCTAACATACAGGAGGGCTTGGGTTCTATCTGAAGCACTGAGGTATAAGTTTTTGTTTTTTGTTTTTTTTAAAGAAAAAGAAAGAAAGAAAAAGAAAAGATAAATTTAGTAACTAGATTTGTACTGGGTTGATATATAGAAAAAAATATAATTAGGTTTTTTCCCTACACTATAAATTTGAACCAGATTAAATTAGAGCTATATCTTCATATGCATAGTTTGGAAAACCTTTCTGAGTCTACCTGAGCTTAGAAGCAACTAATGAAGTAAACACAGTATAAAAAGTAGTGTCAGCTCCATAAAAGTGGAGGTTTTTAGAAAAAAAAAATGGAACAAATGAAAAATACTGACAGCTAATACTTACTGCAGGTGATTGTTTTACACATATAAAAAGAGCTTTTATATAAACTAAAAGGCATAATTCAGTGAAGAAATAGATAAAAATAGATACAGTTTTAAAAAGAATTATGCATGGTTTTCTGAAGGTTTTTTTGTGTTTTAAGACAGTCTCATGATGTTACCCTGGTTAGCTTTGAATTTGCTATGTAGACCAAGTTGGTTTAGAACTCATGGAGATCCTCTGCCTCTCAAGCGTCAGAATTAAAACTGTACACCTCCATTCTCAGCTGTATGACTCTTTTAAAAAAGAAAATAATAAGAATATTCCTAGCTCGGTAATGGTGACACTCAGCTTTAATCCCAGCATGTGGGAGGCAGAGGCAGTTGGATCCCTGAGTTGCAGACCAGCCTGGTCTACAAAGTGAGTTCCAGTATAGCCGGGTCTGTTATACACAGAAACCCTGGTGGTGGTGGGAGCAAAAAAAAAAAAAGTATGAAATAAATATACGATGAAAATTATAAAATGTGAGGTATTTTTTATCTACCATGTGGGTAGATGAAATGAAATAAGACTATGCGCGCGTGGGGGACATGATAATGAAAATAAGAGATATGGTGAACATATGAATACCAATTTAATGACTTTGACTTGTCAGATTAAAGATTAAAAATCTTATAATCCAGACAAGATGCTTAGGGAAATTTGTGCAACCTGGGAGAAAAGACCTAAAGATACTAATTAGAGTGAAATGAAATGGCCCAGGCAGATTCAATGCATACTAGTGAGCCCTGCAGATCTCTCAGAGTGAACACTGATCCCTACAAACAGGAAACAAAGGATTAAGCATTAAGATTGCCTGTGTTTCTACCTGAAGAGTATTTGACTTTATGACACAGAGAATGTAGGTATTCTCTGATGAGAAAATATAGGTGAGCGTCTGGGGCGATGCCATCAGCTATATTCATGAGGCAGGTTACCAGAGAAGTAGAAAACTGTAGTTGGAATTTTCTTTAGACCACCAACCAGCTCCCAGATAAAGACACAGACTTAGTATTAATTATGAATGCTCAGCCTCAGCTTAGACTTACTACTAGTTCTTTTAATTTATTGTGCTTCTACTCATGTATGTTTTGCCTTGTGGCTTTTTACTTTTTTTTTCATTATGTGTGTCCTACTCTCCTGCTTCCTTTGTGTCTGTCTTTCTGATCCCTGGGGTCTTTTCTTTTTCATTTCTGGAACCTAAATTCTTCCTCCCATTTAATTCTCCCTGCCTGGAAGTTCACCTATACCTCCTTACTCACTATTGGCTGGTCAGCTTTTTATTAGACTGATCAGGTGCCTTACACTGTTGTTGGAGGCTGTTCATTTATTTCCTGGCTGCCCAGACTCCTGAAATATTCACACAGAAATATATTATTTAAATCACTACTTGGCCAATCACTTAAGCGTATTTCTTATGTCCTAAACTAACCCATCTCCATTAATCTGTGCATCACCATGAGGTCATGGCCTACTGGCAAAGTTTTGGCGGACTCCAGCGGAAGTGTCTGCACCTGGTAGCTACATGGCTTCTCTTGACTCCACCTTCTTTCTCCCAGCATTCAGTTTAGTCCCCCCCCCCCCAGCTCTACTCTGCCCTATCACAGACCAAAGCAATTTTCTTATTTATTAACCTATAAAAGCAACACATATACAGAAGGACTCGCACATCATTAGACAGGCAAGATAAAACAGCAACACATCTTTGCATGGTTAAACAAATATTCCACAACAGAAAGCTTCACAGAAAGACTTGAGTTCTGCAGATAACCCCAATCAGTATTCAGCATATTCATACAAAATACTACCCAAGGCTGGGAAGAACATCCAAAATGGCTGGAGGAAATGGTGTCACAGAAAGCTGGGAATGGTCTCTGTTAACCACCATTTTTGAGACTAGGAAACCATTGGTCTTGTTTAAAATCATAGGCCTTGCTTCAGGCACAGAGAATAATTAATTAGTTCTGGAGTAAATGTGGCTCTGGTCCCACCTTTAAAACAAGACCGAACTGGACATGGTGGGACACAGTCTTTAGTTCCAGCACTCAGGAGGCAGAAGTAGATGGACTTCTGAGTTTGAGGCCAACTGGTCTACATACGGAGGGCCTGTCTTTAAAAACAAAAACAAAACAAAACCCTGAAGATTCATGCTGTTTTCAGTTTAGTTCTGGGAAAAATAACACAATAATATTTGTAAGAATACATCCATTGCTGGGCGGTGGTGGTGCAGGCCTTTAATCCCAGCACTTGGAAGACAGAGGCAGGCGGATCTCTGTGAGTTATAGGACACTCAGAGCTGTTACAGAGAGAGACCCTGTCCCAGACCCCACCCCACCCCCCAAAAAGAATACATCTGTTATTCCCACACTCAAGTGATAGAAGCAGAAGGATTAGGAGTTAAAGGTTATCCTCAACTCACAGGTTCAGCACCAGCCTGGATTACACAAACAAACAAAAAACAGTATTTGACTTTTTTCATGTAGTTATTGTTTTTGAGTTTTGTTTTGTTTTTTTAAGACAAGACAGTGTAACAGCCCTGGCTGTCCTGGAACACACTTTGCAGATCAAGTGGCGTTACAGTAATTTAAGTAGAAACATGGGAGGACTTTTTTAAAAGATCCAAATGAAACTTGAGGGAATTAGATTCAAATACCTTGAATATCATTGTGAATGGGTAAGAAAATGGCAAATTAGATTTCACTTAAGAGCTAAGTGGATATGGGAGCATGAGAGTAGAAGCTGTTTGAAAGAATTTGTGTATGTGCATGTGCTGCAACATGCTCGTGGAAACTTCGTGCCTCCTGTACAGTGCTGCACACAGCTGTGCAGCTACAGGCTAGCTGGCCCATGAGATTCCTGGAATCCCTCTGTCTCTGCTTCCCATCTCCATGTGTGGACCTGGAATTACATACAGATATGGCATCACCCAACTTTGTATGTGTTCTGAGGATTTGAACTTGTGTCTTTACACTTGCACGGCAAGTACTCTGCACATTGTTTCCTCAGCTCTGAAAGAATTTTGTATGAGACATGGTCAACTACAGTTATAATCAGAATCCTCGGTGGAGGGGACGGGACAGGAAGAAAATGTTTAAAAAATAATGACCAGGGATTTTCCTCTCTCTTCCGTGTGTGTATGTGTGTTTTTGTTTTGTTTTGTTTTGTTTTGGAGCCTGTCCTGAAACTTGCTCTGTAAACCTGACTGTCCTAGAACTCTTATTTGTAGACCAGGCTGGCCTCGAACTCTTATAGATTTGCCTCACTCTTCCTCCTGAGTGCTGGAATTAAAGGTGTGCAGCACCACTGCCTGGCTGGGATTTTTCAAATTTAAATGAAAACCAGAAAATTATTAATCTAAAAATTTTAGTAAGCTCATAAAGATACCAAAAATATGAAGAGAAATACAAAGTACATTGCTCAAAACTGGTTATAAAAAGAAAATTTTTAAAAAATTTTTTTACTTTCGTTTTATGTGTGTGAGTGTTCTGCTTTCATGTATATCAGTACCCCACATGTGTTTAGTGTCCTCGGAGGCCAAAAGGGGTTTTAGCTACCAAGTGACTACTGGGATTTGAACTCAGGTCCTCTGAAAGAACAGCCCATGATCTTAACAGTAGCACCAAAGGAAAATGTCAGTGCAGCTGGAAAAGTGCAGATTATAGCTTTTACTGTCCTAGAGCTTGCTATGTAGACCTGGCTGGCATTGAACTCATTGAGCTCAACCTGCCCATATCAGTCCAGTCTTAGTTTAAGGGCACATACAGTTTTAGCACAAAGATACAGTTATAGTTTTAAGAGTATGTGTGTTTGTAGATATAAACAATTAGTAACTTTCTGTGCTGAATATCCTTTCATATTTTTTAAAGACACTGTTAAAATTTATAATTTAAATATTTTTTTACAGCTATGATACCATGTTACATGCTGGCGGAAGGCAGTCATTTGGGGGTTTTGTTTATCTTTGGTTTTGGGGATAGAGTTTCACCATGTAGCTTAGGTTGCCTTTGAATTCAGGATCCTCTTGCCTAACTCTTCCTAGTGCTACCACATTTGGCCTTTTGGGTGTGGGGAGGTATATGTGTTGATATTTTTTAAACAAGACCTCACTTCATAGTCCAAGCTCGGCTCTGTAGCCCAAGCTGCCTTAAACTCCCATTCCTTCTGCCTCCCAAGTGAAGGGTTAGAGATGTATGCCTTCACACTCTGTTGTGTGTGTGTTCTCGTGCTAATAGACTGTGACTATCTCTTCATGTTAGCATGACACACAGCATTCTACCTCTAACTCCCATTTCTAGTAAATTATAACAGAATTTTTTTCCTGTGATAAAGATTTATTAGGCTATGATTCTGCCTGAAGGAATGATGGCAGGTCTCAAGGCTCAGAGTATCAGAGTGTTCCAATTTTAATGTAGATTGTTTCCAACTTTTTTTTTTTTTAAAGACATTACTGTAAGAGCATCTCAAGCAGAGGCCGTTACAACCGTGATCTGGAACAGGATGAAGCATTTATTCCAGTAGGAGAATCCTTGAAAGACCTGATTGACCAGTCACAAAGCTCTGGTAGTGGATCTGGACTACCTTTATTGGTAAGCTAAAAGCATTTTACAGATGTAAATGGTGTATGGATACAGATGTGACATCATGGGTAAGTGGACATCTTAGTTAGTGACCAACTAAAAGAAATGAGAGTTAAGTTTAGGCTAATTGGCTGAGGGGAGTATAACGTTTAGGTCTAAAAAAGGTTACAGATAATTCTGATGAATGGGTGGGCAGGCAGGTGGACGGACTGACGGACAAACGGATGGATGGATGGATGCAGATAATCAGCTTCAGGGATGGAGAACAGCATTCTGCAACCCTCCTAATCACAACACTACATTTTTGGGTAGGTTTTTTTTAACTGTTTAATAGCATTAGTTGAAAGAAATACTTAATGACAATTTAAAAATATGTCTAAAGTAGTCTGTGGTAGAATTACAAAGGTGAGAGTAAAGATAGCTGTATGCAGATAGTATGATGATGGGGAAAAACCCAAGACTGGTACAAATAAACTTACTGCAACCTACACTTGTCAGTTTGCAGAATTCAAAGTCATGATTGCAGTTTTACTGATTTTATATATCATGGCAACATGTCTAGAAATTGAAAGTTAAGAAGTAGTATCATTTGAAGTAATATCAAAAAGCATGAAACATGTTTGAAATAATCTTAGGCAAATATGTACATCACAAATTTTATATACTAGAAGTTATTAGTTATTGAAGTATTGAATTAATTGATATTCTTAAAATTCTTTGAAGTAGATTGTTTCTTTTTTGGTTTTTCAAAACAGGGTTTCTCTGTGTAGCTTTAGACTCTGTCCTAGAATTCGCTCTGTAAACCAGGCTGGCCTCAAACTCACAGAAATCCACCTGTCTCTGCTTCCCAAGTAGAATTAAAGGCGTGCACCATCACTACCTGGCAAGTTTTCTACTTTTAAAAAGACATTGTAAGAGCTTCCCAAGTAGAAGTCATTACAACCCATGCTTTGGGATAGGATGAAGCATTTATTCCAGTCGGGGTATCATTGAAATTAAATATTCTTAAATATTCTTAAGACTTAAATAGATGGAGTTGTATAACCTGTTTGTTTTTATTTTAATTAATTTATTTATTATATATAGTGTTCTGCCTGCATATATGCCTGCAGGCCAGAAGAGGGCATCAAATCTCATTATGAATGGTTGTATGCCACCATGTGTTTGCTGGGAATTGAACACCGAGTCCTCTGGAAGAGCAGCCAGTGCTCTTAACCTCTGAGCCATGTCTCCAGCCCCTGTATAACCTGTTTATGAATTGAAGGCAGCACTACTAGGATGTCAGGTTGCCTCACATGGAAACTTTGTTTCCTTCCTTCCTTTTTTTTTTTTAAAGGCATGTACCACCATCTCCCAGAGGCTATATTCGTGTGTGTATGTGTGTGTGTGTGTATTTTTTTTAGATTTATTTATTATGAATACAGTGTTCTGCCCACATGTATGCCTGCACACCAGAAGAGAGCACCAGATCTCATTATAGATGGTGCGGAGCCACCATGTCGTTTCTGGGATTGAACTCAGTACCGTCGGAAGAGCAGCCAGTGCTCTTAACTTCTGAGCCATCTCTCCAGCCCCATGTTGTTCATTTCAATCCAAACAGAAATCAGAGCAAATTTTTACAGAAATGGACAGACAGATTTATAAAAATACAAAGAACTCGATGAGCTGAGTTGTTAGAAAAGAGTGCAGGACTAACTTACATGACTTCTCAGCTTACTTAGAAAGCTGCACTAATTAGTGCCGTGTACTCAATGGACAGAGCACAGCCTACAAAGGGATGCACTTGTACAAGAATTTATGTACATGGGATTTTTTGCCTGCATATCTGTTTGTGTACCTGTGTACTCAAAGAGGCCAGAAGAAGGTGTTCGATCCCCTGAAACTAGAGTTAAAGATTATTGTGGGTCACTCTTAAGTGCTGGGAATCGAACCTGGACACTTGAGAAGAGCAGCCAGTGCTCTTAACCACTGAGCCATCCCTCCAGTCCAATCAGTTGATTTTATTGTTATTTGTTGTTTTGGGGGATTATCTATGAAGACCTGGATCACCTTGGATTCATAGAGATCTGCATGCCTATGCCTAGGAGTGCTGGAATTGAAGGTGTGTGCCTTCATACCCTGATTGATTGATTGATTGATTATTTGTTTGTTGGGATTTTTTGTTTTTGTTGTTTTGGTTTTGGTGGGGGGCGCTTTTTGAGATAGGGTTTCTCTGTGTAGTCCTGTCTGTCCTGGAACTCACGCTGCCGACCAGACTGACTTTGAACTCACAAAGATCCACCTGCCTCTGTCTCCTAAGTGCTGGCTGGCTTCTGGCACAACCAGCAGGGGTGCTCAATGATTTTTTTTTAAAAAGATTTCATTATAAAAGGTTACATGAGGCCATTATTTGTTTAAAGTACTGAAGTAATTCAGTGTTGAACTGGTTGTCTATTAAATAGATGTTGCAGGGAATAAAACCTCAGGTATCCATTTGTTGCAAAATGAATGTGTTCCAGTACCTCAGTTGGTGTACAAAATTAAGTTGAAATGGAGGATAGATCTAAATGTAAAAGTTAAACTAGAAAAACCTCCAAAAGAATTTTTTTAAAAATCACTGTGAATTCAAGGACTGCCAGGGCTGCGCAGGGAAACCCTCTTCCAAAAACCAAAGCCAGGAACAACAAAAAAGGATGAAAGTTAAAAGACGAGTGAGGTGCTAATAAAATACATTTGATAAGTACACGGACATTCAAAGAAATGTAAAAGCTCCATAATAAGACAGCCAAATTTTTTAGATGGACAAAAGATTTGAATAGATGCTTCCCTAAGGTTAAGAAAACGGCAGATAAACAAGCACACCTGCGCCGGGCGGTGGTGGCGCACGCCTTTAATCCCAGCACTCGGGAGGCAGAGGCAGGCGGATCTCTGTGAGTTCGAGACCAGCCTGGTCTACAGAGCTAGTTCCAGGACAGGTTCCAAAGCCACAGAGAAACCCTGTCTTGAAAAAAAAAAAAAAAAAAAAAAACAAAAAAAACCAAGCACACCTGCATCGTGAAGGGTGTGCAGGTCACATTCATCAGGGCTCTGCTGTGCTAGAGATTAACTTGAATTTTCACAGATAGCGGATTAAATGCAAAATAATAAGGCATTTGAAAATAGTTGGGAGTGTTGAAGTACGGAGCGGCAGGCTGTGTCCCGCCACCCGGCTAGCTTTACCCAAAATAATTACACGGAAACTGTATTCTTTTAAACACTGCCTGACCCATTAGTTTCAGTTTCTTATTGGCTAGCTTTTACATATTGATCTAACCCATTTCTATTAATCTGTGTAGCCCACGAGCTGGCTTACCAGGAATGATCTTAACCTGCATCTGTCTGGAGTGGGAGAATCATGGCGACTCCCTGACTCAGCTTCTTTCTCCCAGCATTCCCTTCTGTTTACTCCGCCTACCTAAGGGTTGGCCTATCAAATGGGTCTAGGCAGTTTCTTTATTAATAAGAAATTACTCCCACATCATGGGAGTTTACTAACAAGCATATACTTTACTTTTTATATTTATTTTTGTTTTTTTGAGACAGTTTTTCATGTAGTCCTGGAATGGAACTCAAATCTGTAGATGAGGTTAGCCTCAAACTCAGAGATCCACTTGCATCTGTCTCCCGAGTGCTGGGTGTGTATACAATAAAACAGTTCTTCTGCTTTTAGCCCTATAGATACAAAAAATTTGTTTACACAAAAGACCTGAAGGTGACTGTTCATAGTAAATATAGTTTAATAAATAATTAAATTAGAAATAACCTAAAAGCTTACCAAATTGGCAAATGGATAAACAAACTATGACACATTCATCAGTGTTGAGAAACAAATCACTAACAACAGAGATGGATTTCAAAGGTATTTTGTGTTTAGGAAAAAAAAAAAAGCCAGCTACAGAAAACTACATAATGTGTCTACTTATATGACTCACTAAAGGCAGGAACAAAACAGGTAAGCAATGCCAGTAAGCAGGAAGGAATTAATTATGAAAAGAGGAATTGTTTTAAGCAATGGAAATATTCTTAAGTCTTAAATGAGGTTTTGGTAATTAGATGACTAGGCATTTATCAGAATTTGCTGCTCATTCCCCCCCCCCCTTTTTTTTGTTTGTTTTTGGTGGTTTTTCGAGACAGGGTTTTCCTGTGTAACAGTCCTAGGTGTCCTGAAACTAGCTCTTACTATAGACCAGGCTGGCCTCGAACTCACAGGGATTCACCTGCCTCTGCATCCCAAGTGCTGGGATTAAAGGCGTGTGCCGCTACCACCTAGCTGCCGCTCAATTTTTAAAATGTACATTTTATTTTATATATAAATTATACTTGAATAATTCTGACCTTAAAGTATTTCAGAAAGATTCTATGCTAAGTGATTTACGATATAAACTAGTTCAGCTTTGCATAGATCCCGCCTCAGACACACTTCCATCCAGAAGAGCACGTTCTTATTCATTTAAAATTACTAGTAATCTGAAAATGAAAAAATAAAGTACATATGTACTTCACATATTATTCCCAATTACTATGAGTCAGGAATAGGATTCAAGCAAAGGTATATAAAAAAACAAAATTGTAATTCTGATCGATACAGCCAATAAATGAGTATGAGAGAGACAGAGAGACAAACAGCACTATACAGAAAATTGGACCTTCAGCAAGAGCCTGTGAAAGGAATAAATGAGTGAATTATAAAAAGTTAGAATGGAGCTTGAGAATTTATTTGTTTGGAGGTTCCAGTGGGGGAGCAAAGCTACTTCTATACCCTTCACTGAAAACAATTAATTTCTCTATCTTTGGGAAGTTTTGAGTGGGATCCACATGGAGTGTTGAAAGAGGAAGAGGATATCTGACTGGCTGTTCAGGCCAGCTGAATCAACCCTAGCAGTCAACAGCGTGATAGATGTCATAGCCAGATCACCCTCACATTCAAAGATTGTAAGAGCCAGAGATGGTGCATGACTCCAAGGAAACAGTGTCTTCCAGACACCACAGGACCAATACACATATGAACTCAGAAACTGTGGTAACATGCACAGCTCCAAATAAGACAAAATCCCAGTGTTGAGAAGGGGAATTAGACACATAGCCCCACCTCTAGCCTCTGGGAGGTATTTGAAGAGGGGAAAGAATGAGCAAAATACTCTATACTGGAAAAAAAAATTGAATTAAAAAAAGAAAAGTTGGAATAAGGGAAGTGTAGGTAAATAGTGAAAGCTGGAGCTGGGTCAGATCATCTAGGATCTTAGAGATTGAGGTGAGGGGTTTAATTTTTAGATTTTGTATAGTAGATCACCCTGAACTCAGTGACTGGAAACCAAAAATATTTATTTCTCATGACTGAATTTGTTGGGAAGTTTGATTTCGAGACTTGCCCAGATACTGATAAGCTGTATAGCTTGTGCCTAGGATTGACAGTTGACATGGTTCTCTCTTTGGGAGGCAGGGTTCCCAGGAGCAGAAAGGAAAGGGCAAGCTGTGATACACAAGCCTCTGTGAAGTCTGCTGGTCACATACTTGCTATTCTGTTGCCTAAAAGAAGTCACATAACCAAAACCAAAGTCTGTGGGGAAGGAGATTTCTCAGGGGGGACTGTGTGTGATTTCAGAATACATTGTTCATTGCTGCCTTTAAATACTATAGTTTAAACATTGAGGTTAGTGTGTTTACATTGGAGTTATTTGGATATGCCAGTTTTTTTTAATGGCATGACATATCACAGCTTAATAGATTGTTAATAGATTGGTCAGTCTTAATAGATTCTTTGCATAAAGAGCTCAAAATACTGTCCTTTTTCTTTCCTGTGTAGGTTCAGCGAACTATTGCCAAACAGATTCAGATGGTTCGGCAGGTTGGTAAAGGCCGATATGGAGAAGTGTGGATGGGTAAATGGCGTGGCGAGAAAGTGGCAGTCAAAGTGTTTTTTACCACTGAAGAAGCTAGCTGGTTTAGAGAAACGGAAATCTACCAGACGGTGTTAATGCGTCATGAAAATATACTTGGTGAGTTTCCTTCGCTTTAGTAAGTTTCTCATTGTGGCGGGGGTGTTTCGGTACAGGGGAGAATCTGCCATGTGCATGTGGATTCAAATGTTTGTATAACTAAAAGAAACCCAGTAGAATTCTTAGTGAATCAGAACACTATCTTGAATGCCAAAAAAGCTTTTCATTACTCTAAACAGCATTGAGTTTCTAAAGGATAATTAAAACTGGTTTGTTGAATGTACATAATAATGGAAGCAAGTCTTTCGTAGAGAGCATCAGTGAATGCTTTTTCTAGGGTAACTTTAACTGCATCTGCCTTTAGCTTTTGTCAGCACAAGAACCCAGTGTGTGGCTTCACTGTATTTTCTGTGCCCAGTATATGTTCCTCTCACTACCTCATTTTATATAGTAGTGAAGTAATGTAGGTCTCTGATCAGTAAAGTGTATAAACAGATCTTGTTTTCCTGTGTTTTCTTTTCAGCTGCCATTTTACTGTCTCTTATTTTGTAAAGTGCTTTGCCCATTGCCAAGCGCTGACATTTATGTTCCTTTCCTATTAGTCGTGTAAACTGTTATCACAAACTGAGTGGCTTAAAACATTAGAAGTATGGCCAGGTGTGTTGGCCCAAACATTTAATCCCATGTTTAAATGGCAGATAGATTTCTTGAGTTCAAGGCTAGCCTGGTTTACAGAGTTTCAGGACAGCCAGTACTATACCGAGAAACCCTGTCTCTAAAATTACCCCTCAAAAAAGAAGAGAAAAAAAAAATCAAAAAAGAAAACACCAGAAGCAGTGTGAGGCGATAGCCCACTTGTGAAGAAGGGGTTGCCTAATAAGCAGAAACCTGAGTTCAGAAGCCACTTAAAGAGCTAAGTGTGTTATAGTCCAAGCTCGTAATCAGTGATGGTGAAGGATGGAGGTAGAGGAGACAGGTGGATCCCCGGAGCACTCTGACCCAGCGCTTGGGTCTAAGTTCTGGGCCAATAGGAAACAACATGTAAGGCAGTTCCCTGACCTAAAGGCACTATACTCACATGTATACATGTATGCACATGTGTACACACACAGAGAAAGAAAACAGCTGATTAGATTATCCCCTTTAATTTTAGGATCCAGAATTTTAAAAATCAAGCTGATGGCAGGGCCTTGCCTATCTGGGGTTTCTTCCTGACTGCCAGTCGTTAGTGTTCTTTGACTATTTGGTTGTTTTTCACTCTTTGGCTCATTGGGGTCCCACCACCCAGCTCCTAAATAAATACATGGAAGCTTATTCTTATGAATGCCCAACCTTAGCTTTAGCTTTGCTTATTCCTAACCAGCTATTTATTTATTTATTTATTTATTTATTTATTTACTTATGCAACATGAAAGAATGTTACACATCTTTGTATCATTAAACAAATGTTCCACAGCATAAACATATGTAACACATTTTCAACTAATATTCCACAACAGACAACCTTCCTTTCTGTATTTCATGCGATCTTCTATGTGTGCTGTGACCACATTTCCATCATACAGGACACTCATTAGCTAATTTGGGCCATCTATATCTTGCATGGCTTCATGTAAATATAATTCCACCTATAAAGATTCTGTTTCCCATGTAACTTAAAGTATCTGTTTTTCAACTTGAAATAGAAACTTTTATTTTGGGTGTTCAGGGGTGGGGTTTTGTTTTTGTTGTCTTTGCAGTCTTACTCAGTTTGTGCAGTCCTTCTCCCTCTGTCTCCTGAATACTGGAATTACAAGTGTGTGCTGCCACTCCCAGGTAAAGAGCCATCTCACAAGAACATCATTTAAGTTATTGTGTAATACATGACTTCTTTTTCTTAGTCATTATTATCACTGTTTTGATTAATGTTAGGATTATCATAATTAGCTAGCTGTATGTCCTGGCACAGGCATATAATCTCAACACTCAAGAGACTGAGTTTGATCACAAGTTTAGATATAGCCTGGACTGCATAGCAAAACCCTGTCTTTAAAAATACTGTAAATATGGACTGGAGAGATGGCTCGGTGGCTAAGAGCACATACTGTTCTTGCAAAGGACCTCAGTTCGATTCCCTGCACCCACATTAGGAAGCTTACAGTTGCCCATCACTTCAGCTCTAGAGAATATGACACCCCTGACTTTGTCCTCCACGAACACACATAATACATACATAAATTTAAGAATACTCTAAATTTGTTTTTTTGGGTTTTCGAGGCAGGGTTTCCCTGTGGAACCTGTTTTGGAACTCGCTCTGTAGACCAGGCTAGTCTCGAACTCAGAGATGCACCTGCCTTTGCCTCCTGAGTGCTGGGATTAAATGTGTGCGCCACCACCGCCCGGCAAAAAATACTGTAAATTTGTAAAAATGTAGTGACATAGGAAATGGGTTTTTTGTTTGTTTGTTACACATTCAAAACATTTTGCGGGTCAAATTAGGAAAGTACTATCTGTACAAAATAAGTAGTTCGTTTCCAGTATCCTGAATGTGCATCTGTAACTGCCTAGCACCTCTGCTGACAGCTAACCCTTTACCCTCATTAACTAAACAGGTTTTATAGCTGCAGACATTAAAGGCACTGGCTCCTGGACTCAGCTGTATTTGATTACTGATTACCACGAAAATGGATCTCTCTATGACTTCCTGAAATGTGCCACACTAGACACCAGAGCCCTACTCAAGTTAGCTTACTCTGCTGCCTGTGGTCTCTGCCACCTCCACACAGAAATTTACGGTACCCAAGGAAAGCCTGCAATTGCTCATCGAGACCTGAAGAGCAAAAACATCCTTATTAAGAAAAATGGAAGTTGCTGCATTGCTGACCTGGGTCTGGCTGTTAAATTCAATAGGTAAATGATTTTTTTGTTTGATGTTTGGAAATTAATTCAATATCTAACTGGTATTTATGCACAGGGTTACTTTGTTTTTTGTTTTGTTTTGTTTTTTAACAAAGCTATATTTCACTATACTTTTCTGGGGGATTATTGGGGATTGAACCCAGGATCCTACATATACTAAACATACACTCTGTTACTAAATCACATCTTTAGCCTCTATGTAATTGTTGATTTTCTATTTTTTATGCTTTTATTTCAGTTTACTTGTAATTGCTCTTTTTTCAAATAGTTGTCCATGTTACATATAAGTAGCTTGTGACCCAAGTAATTAACAAAGGGCATTAAGTTTGCTTCAGTTCATCTGTATTAAAACAAGGTTATCATGACACCGTGTGGTGGTAGTTGCACGCCAGCACTCAGGAGGCAGAGGCAGGCAAATCTCGGAATCAGCCTGGTCTACAAAGTAAGTTCCAGGACAGCCTGGGCTGTTACACAGAGAAACACTGTCTTGAAACACCTCCCTCCAAAAAAGGGGGGGGGTTATGAAACCAGGATGGGAAGGTGGGCACACCTTTAATCCCAACACTCGGGAGGGAAATGTGGGCAGATCTCTGAATTGTGAGTTCTAGGACAGCCAGGGATACACAGAGATACTCTGTCAAAAAAAGAAAGGAAGGTTATCCTAAATATTATTGAATTTTAATCATTTATAGATATTACTCTACTTTTGAGCACTTACATAAGTATTTTTTTCTTTTCTTTTTTTTTTTGAGAAAAGGAGAAAAAAAAAAGTTTCCACCTCCTCCCAGCCTCCCATTTCCCTCCCTCTTCTCCCCCTCCTCCCACCCTTCTCCCCCTCCCCCCACTCCTCTCCCCCTCCCTCTCCAGTCCAAAGAGCAGTCAGGGTTCCCTGCCCTGTGGTAAGTCCTAGGTCCTCCCCTCTCCGTCCATTCCTAGGAAGGTGAACATCCAAACTGGCTAGGCTCCCACAAAGCCAGCACATTACGTAGGTTCAAAACCCCGTGCCATTGTCCTTGGCTTCTCATCAGTCCTCATTGTTCGCCATGCTCAGAGAGTCCGGTTTTGTCCCATGCTTTTTCAGTCACAGTCCAGCTTGCCTTGGTGAGCTCCCAATAGATCAGCTCCACTGTCTCAGTGGGTGGGTGCACCCCTCGTGGTCCCGACTTCTTTGCTCATGTTCTCCCTCCTTCTGCTCCTCATTGGGACCTTGGGAGCTCAGTCCAGTGCTCCAGTGTGGGTCTCTGTCTCTATCTCCATCCATCACCAGATGAAGGTTCTATGATGATATGCAAGATATTCGTCAGTATTGCTATAGGATAGGGTCATTTCAGGTTCCCTATCCTCAGCTGCCCAAGGAACTAACTGGGGACCTCGGCTTGGGCATCTGGGAGCCACTCTAGGTTCAAGTCTCTTGCCAACTCTAAGATGGCTCCCTTAACTAAGAATTGTGCTTCCGTGCTCCCCTATCTAACCTTCCTTTATCCCAATCCTCCTTTTTCCCCAAGTTCCCCCCATTCTCCCCTTCTCCCCTTCTCCCTTTTCTCTCCCCATCTCCCCTTACCCCCACCCCACCCCACCCCCAAGATCTCAATTTTCTCCCCGGCCATTTTGTCTACTTCCCATAGCCAAGAGGACAACTATATGTTTTTCCTTTGGTTCACCTTCTTACTTAGCTTCTTTGGGATCACCAATTGTAGACTCCGTGACCCTTGTTTATGGCTAGAAACCAATTATGAGTGAGTACATCCCATATTCATCTTTTTGGGTCTGGGTTACCTCACTCAGGATAGTGTTTTCTATTTCCATCCATTTGCATGCAAAATTTGAGAAGTCATTGTTTTTTACCGCAGCGTAGTACTCTAATGTGTAGATATTCCATACTTTCTTCATCCATTCTTCCATTGAAGGGCATCTAGGTTGTTTCCAGGTTCTGGCTATTACAAATTAATACTGCTATGAACATAGTTGAACAAATGCTCTTGTCATATGATACGGCATCTCTTGGGTATATTCCCAGGAGTGGTATTGCTGGGTCCAGGGGTAGGTTGATCCCGAATTTCCTGAGAAACCGAAACACCGATTTCCAAAGTGGTTGCACAAGATTGCATTCCCAGGAAGGGGTACCCTCATCCATAAGTATTTTTTTCCTAATGGATTTCTAGAGATGGGAGACTATTGAAGGAGTTTTCACATGTTAACTTGTGCCATATCATATAGTACTGCTTCAGAACAATATCGTGTGCCAATTTATACTCCTGTAAATGTGGGGAGATAGTTTCTCTTGATTATCAATTTTCCAGAAACAGTTGGCATTATAAAAATTTCAGGAGCTAGATGGTATGGCACATGTCTTTAATCCCAGTACTTGGAGGCAGAATCAGGCTACAGAGAAAGTTCCAGGACAGCCAAAATTACACAGAAAACCCTTTCTCAAGCTCCTCCCTCCTCCAAAAAACATCAAGTACCTTTTGAGGCAGTTATCGTGTATTATGATGTAGTTTAAGAATGGAATGGTTGTTTCACATTTACGACCACAAAAGAAAAGTACTACTTGAGGGACTGAAGAGATGACTTAGGAGTTCAATAAGTGGTTTTTTGTTGTTCAGCAGGCTCTCATACCAAATGTACCTGGTGTTTGTGATGGCATCATCTGGGCTCCAGTGAACTTGGATAGCTCCATTCATCCTGTTTTACTGCCTGCAATAAATGTAGCCTCTCTCTTAGGCTGGCTCTACTCCATACTTGGAGCTTTTCTTCAATGGACATTCCTAGTCCTAGCATCTCCAACTCCCTAGATCTCTCTTATTTTGGGGAATTCAGCACTGCTGCAATGTTTTTTTGAAGAACCTTGATAAGGCTTCCCTGGCCATTTAACTTACATTAGGTGTTCCTGATGAACCACACGGTGATGCCAGTGAATTCTTCTGCTTTTTTATCACTTAGTCTGCTTGGACCTTTTCTGCCACAGCTGAACTTAGCCTGTCTGTGCCTTGGCAGCTCAAACTGGGAAAATCTTGTCTATAGAATCATTTTGAAGCAGGGTTAAATAAAAAATTTTCCTAAAACCATACTTTTCTTTTCTTTTTTTTTTTTTTTTTTTTTTGGTTTTTCGAGACAGGGTTTCTCTGTGGCTTTGGAGCCTGTCCTGGAACTAGCTCTGTAGACCAGGCTGGTCTCGAACTCACAGAGATCCGCCTGCCTCTGCCTCCCGAGTGCTGGGATTAAAGGCGTGCGCCACCATCGCCCGGCTTTTCATACTTTTCTAATTAAATAGATGATTTTGTAGTTATTAGTTAATTGCAAGTTTGGATTGGGAAATTCACAAATGTGTGTCTGTCTGTCTGTGTATTACATTTATAAATATATAGTACCATATATGCAATGACTTATTTGTACAATCTCTGAAAGACAAAATTTTATCACTGTCAATAGCTTCCTGAGTCCAGGAAACTAGACTGGTTTTAATTGACTTAAGTAGGATCCTTTACACAGAGTTCAGATCAGTGAACTAGAAAGTTATGACTGTGGAATAGTGAAGACAGTTCATGGAAATGTAATCATATGGTTAGGCAGTTTAAGACTTACCTGCCATAAATGAGTGAGCAAACTTTATTATAGTGTAAATTGTTGACCTATTTGCTCCTTCCCCAAAACTTTCTTTTTATATAGATTCTACTTTTTTTGTATTTGTATTGATTTAGCAGAAGCCAGGAAAATACTTTTGAGCTATTGTAATGTTATCTAATTTCTTACTACTAGCTTATTCTTATTGTTAACTTTATTGTGTAAAATGGTTTTATACTCCTTTAAAAAATAAGTGAGTAAGGTCCAGTGAGATGGCCGAGTGGGATAAAGGCACTTGCCACCAAATGATGAAGAAAAGAACTGATTCCTGCAAGTTGTCTTCAGGTTTCCTCCACCAAACATCACAGTCCTTGGGGTCAGAGACGGCTCATTAGTTAAGAACATTTACTGCTGTTTCCAGCACCCTCATGAGAGGCCCACAGTTACATGAAACTCCAGCTCCAGGAGATCCACTGCCATCTGCAGATGCCTGCACTCACATAGCACACACACACCTGAACACATTAAAATAGATCTTTAAAAAAAAAAAAGTCTTAGTCCATTGTTGTGAAGGGGGTGGATATTTTTTTTTCAAATCAGGGTTTTCCTGTGTCCTGGAATTGACTCTGTAGACCAGGCTGACCTTGAATTCAGATCTGCCTGCCTCTGCCTCCCAAATGCTGGGATTTAAAGTGTGTGCCACCACACTGTCTTTATTTTTTATTTTTAATTGTATAGATATTTTTCATGCATGGATATCTGTGTATCACATGCATGCAATTCCTGCAGAGACCAGAAGAGGGCATCAGATCCCTGAAGGTTGGCTACAGGTGGTAGTGAGCCACTATGTGGATGTTGGAAATTAAACCCAGGTCCTCTGGAAAAACATGAAGTGCTTTTAACAGCTGAGTTATCTGTTTAGTTCTTAATTCATTACTTTTAATTCATCCTCACGTGAGTTTTCAGGACATAGGAAGATTTCAACCCTATTCTTGCCAAGATGGAACATAACTAGCCTCTAGCCTCGGTCTCCGTAGAGTTCTTGTTCCCTAAAGCATCATGAACCATGCCTCCACTTTCTGCATTATTTCCTATCAGAACATCCTGGTATACTCTGCTCATCGTTCCCAGGCCTCTAGCATGCACATCTAAACTCCTCCACATTCCTCCCATAGGCCAGTACTAAAGGCATATCAGTCACACTGTCAAGTTTATCACAGTGACAGCCCTACCCCTCCTTCTTTGTGTGGTATGTACTGCTGCGCATGCAGAAGCCAGAGGAGGATCTCCAATAGCCCTTCTTAACCATTTTGTTATTCCCTTGAGAAAGGGTTTCTCATTAAACCTGAAGTTAGGCTGGTGACTGGAAGCCTCAATGAACATTCCTTCTCCACCCTCCATAGTAGTGGGATTACTGGCGGGAACATGGACATACCCAGCTTGGGGCTAGGGGTTTGAACTCAGGACCTCTTGTTTGTGCCACAAGTGCTCTTACTCACTGAGCCTGTCCTTATGTTTTGTGTTGCTAGGACAAAAAGTGACAAAAGCCACTTTTGTCTTTAGCCTTTAATGGCTGAGCTATGGTGCCAGCCCAACAGAAACAGCTTTTAAGGAAAGAAAAGGTTCTTTTGTTCATGTGTTCATTATAAAAGGGAAAGCATCATGGTGGGAATGTGAGGTTGCTGCTCACATTGCACCTATAATCAAAAAGCAGAGAGTTGAGCACTAATTGGGGGAGGTCCCTTGCTTTGTCCTTTTTCCATTTTAACCTGTGAACTGGTACCACCTCATTCTGGATGCTCTGTCCTTCATCCATTAAACAACTCTGGAAGCAGGCTCAGAGACCCACCTCCAGGTCTTTCTTAGTTTCTCAGTTGCTTACAAATGTAGTCAAGATGACAATAAAGATTAACCACCACAGATGTTTTATAAAAAAATATAGCACTTTGTATCCCACTCTACTGGAAAACAGTTCTAGAAGTTTGTTTTAGGGACACAAGTTAGGTCTTTAAGTCTAAAATTCAGTTCAAAACCCAGGAAACTTAAAAAAAAAAAAAAAAGATCACAAATACATATAAAAAAAAAAACCAAAACCCAGGAAACTAATAAATCATTTTTTTACTGGGTTGACTTTTTATGGATACCACTTTTCTTATAATTAAGTAGATTGGATCCTTGAAAAATAACATAATTCTGTATTTTAAATGCTAAGCTTACAGCCTGACAGTGGTAGCGCACATGTTTAATCCTAGCATGCAGGAGGCAGAAGCAGGTGGATCTCTCTGAGTTTGAGACCAGCCTGGTCCAGAGAGTGAGTTCCAGGACAGCCAGGGCTACACAGGAACTCTGTCTCAAAAAAAGGAGGAGAAACAATGCTAAGCTCATTGTCTAAGAATGGTAACAATAAATGATTCCTCTTCTATTTTCATACTTCTCAGATAGAATTATTTGCCCTTATGTGAAATAGTGTATTTGTTTTGTTTTGTTTTTTGAGACAGAGTTTCTCTGTGTAACAGTCCTGGCTGTCTTTATAGGCCAGACTGGCCTCGAACTCACTGAGATCTGTCTGCCTTTGCCTGCCAAGTGCTGAGATTAAAGCTGTGCGCCACCACTGCCCGGCTCCTTTTTCTTTTTCTTAAGACAGGGTCACATGTAGCTCAAGCTGGACTGGAACCAGCTATTTAGCCAAGGATGACCTTGAATTTCTGAGATCATTCTGCCCTTGCCTCATTGGTGCTTAATATTAGGATAATAGGCCATGCTCTGTTTATATGGTGTGGTACCAGGGTCTCATGTATACTAGACAGACAAGCACTGTATGAACTGTAGCACCTCCTCAACCAGCGCTGTTACTTTTTGAGAAGTGTAGAATTTCCTTGGAGACAGATCCTTGGCCGAACTCATGAATGATCCTTGTGAGAAAGAGGAAGAGAAAAAATAAATAAATAAAAGTGCTTGTGTTAATACAGCTTACTGTAAAGAAGTCAGAGTTAGTGATTTGTGGCAGACATGGTACTAAGGCCCAGAATAGCCTCTCCAGACTGTACTGGGGGTGTTATGTAATATGCAATATATAGTCTATAAAGGTGCTAAATTTTGTAATGTGGCTCCAAGAATTTATGGTAAAGAATATAGGAATTTATACATTTAGAAAGAAAAATGTTTATAAAACTGTACAGATATGAGCCGGGTGATTATGGCGCATGCCTTTAATCCCAGCACTCAGGGAGGCAGAGGCAAGCAGATCTCTGTGAGTTCTAGGGCAGCCAGAGATAGAGAGAGAAGCCCTGTCTCAAAAAAACAAAAAGAAAAAAAAGTACAGATATGAACTATCATTGACTCTCAACATGGCCATTGTCCTCCTGTCCTAGTGATACAAACGAAGTTGACATACCCTTGAACACCAGGGTGGGCACCAAGCGCTACATGGCTCCTGAAGTGCTGGATGAAAGCCTGAATAAGAACCATTTCCAGCCCTACATCATGGCTGACATCTATAGCTTTGGCTTAATCATTTGGGAAATGGCTCGTCGTTGTATTACAGGAGGTAAGAGTTTGAACCATGTTTTTGATTATGTTTGTTTAGCTCGCATTTAAAAAAATAATTACCTAGTCTATACGTCACCTATGTTGGGGTTTTTCCAGGACCACTCTCAGAATCTGTGGTTTCACTAGATTTACTCTAAGACTCTCATTAGTCTTGATTCCTCACATACATTGCCGTGAAAAAATACCTTAAAGTCATCCGAGGGGAGAAGTGCCGAGAGAGGCTCCAACAGCTCAGCCCCTCCCCAGCCAGCTGTGACTGTGGAAAGTGGTGTCATTGCTCACATCTGTTGGCTATCATCAGAGGCCTCCATGTAGTTAGGTGAACTACTCCTAGCACCTGGGAGGTGACAGCCTCAGTGGTGAATGACTCATTGTTAGGTTCCCAGACAAGAGGCAAGGACTGACCTTGTATCCTTTTTTAATGAGAGCCATAGTGGGCTGTCTTGTGAGCTTGTGTGCACGTTGTGATTAGTCTTTCTCTTCAGTAGAGAGGAATAGAAACATTCCTAGGAGTGACAAACAAGTAAACAGATATTGACACCAAAAATTTCAAGAAAATCTTACTTCTTTCTTTAGTGTTTGTTTGTTGTTTGAGAGTTTCATTGCTTGTAGCACAGACTGGCTTGTCACAGTCCTCTTGTCTCAGATCTTAAGTGCCCTACCCCCAAAAGAAACACTATATACCATTGTTGACAGACTCGCCCTGTTAGAGGTAGGGAAAATGATGGGTCATAAATAATAGAAACGTATTTACTTTTAAAAAGAGAACCATCCAGGTTATAATTCTTTATGTACGAATTCATTCTTTGTTCTGTAGTTGAGGGAGCTGCTATGTACTCCTCCTCTGTGTTTCTGCTCACTCTGTCTTCTCACTCCCCACAGGAATAGTGGAGGAATACCAATTACCATATTACAACATGGTGCCCAGTGACCCATCCTATGAAGATATGCGTGAGGTTGTGTGTGTCAAACGATTGCGGCCAATCGTGTCTAACCGCTGGAACAGTGATGAAGTAAGTTGGAACCAAGTCCCCTGTAAAGTGGTGAGTGAGTGAATGCTGTTACCCCATGCTTACCACGGTCTCTTTGCCTTTTTCTTTAGTGTCTTCGAGCAGTTTTGAAGCTGATGTCAGAATGCTGGGCCCATAATCCAGCCTCCAGACTCACAGCTTTGAGAATCAAGAAGACACTTGCAAAAATGGTTGAATCCCAGGATGTAAAGATTTGACAGTTATACAGTTGTAAGGGAGAATCTAGACTGTAAGAACTTCACCCAAGGAATGGGTGGGTTAGCATGGAATAGGATGTTGGCTTGATTTTCAGACTCTTTGCCACATCTTCACAGGCTGCTAACAATAAACTTTCAGAACTCTGCGGAATACAAGATTTGAACTTCCAAACATGTCAGTCTTTATACATGGACAGGACAACTGTTTTACAGGTTTTATGAACTACATCAAGACTCCAAGCCTGATAAGAAGCCTCTGGTCTAACTCTGGGCACTCATTCTTCTGTCCATAAAGTGATGCTTTCTGTGAAAGCCTTGAGAAAATTAATGAACTCAGCAGAGATGGAGAAAGACATATTTGCCTTCTCTCAGAGAAAACATCTATTTGCGTTCTATCTTTGTAAACAGCCTACAGATTATGGTCTCTTTGGGATACTACCTGGTTTATGATGGTGCACTATGCCTTGATATGTACACCAGAATTCCTCTGCTGCCATGGGGCTTAGAAGAAAAGAATGTATGATTGTGCAGGAGGGTATTGTGGCTAGCAGGTTAAACATGCAATATCTGATCAACATTCGCCAATCTCATGGAAGTCATCTGCCTTGTATCTGTATAACCTCTCCACCAACTTTGTTTTCAACATAACAGTTGTAAAGGCCAAATGAGTTTAAAGTGTCCATAAATTTGGACTATTTCTCTTCTATCACCATTTTGTTTTCTTTTTTGGTAATTATTATTATTATTATTTTTATATATATATATATATATATATATAAAACACCACCTGTCCAGAGTTGAAACTCACCTCTTTAAACCATTCTTTGGAAGAAAGCACCTCTTGCTGGAGAAGGCCTTGCAGATTCTGATAACAGTGTGCATGCCTGTGGTCAAATTCTGAAGTCTTTGCTCTCAGTATCTCTTAAAAAGGGAAGTTGTTTACCGTGTGTAATGTGCTTTTATTTTCAAAACCTACATAATCGTCTTTCTAGCCATATTTTCCTTGCATACTGAACTCTGTTCCAAACAGCTCACATGGATCTTATCCATAATGGGGAAATGTTTTAAAGTAGAACCATGTGTGAATTTCAGAATTCATGCATTTAAAAACTTTAGTCAAAAAAGTTCACTAAGATATTGCCTCATTCTTTTATGAAGGATGTCAGCTAATATAAATTTGTCAGTAACTGGTAAATGTATTTTATATATCTAAATCTTTAGAAATTTGCTTTTTACAGTTTCTGATCCCTAACTTATGAAGACAAAAGAATCAAGCAGAAGTGTCCAGTATCTGGTCACTACCCATATATACACTGAACCGCTGAAATAAAATGATGCTTTCTTTTTTTTTTTTTTTTTAAATAGAGGGCTTGTTCTCTCAAAGAACAGTTCTGGTTAAATCTTACATGCCGATATTATATTATTTAAATGTTTATTCGGCGCAAACAAGCCAGGAGAGGATCAAGTGACATTGTCTCTTTGAAACATAAATTAAAGATGATTGCATTATAACATAGTCAACCATTTTAATTTAAATGGGAGGCTGTCCATCTATTCATTTATAACTAAATATAATACACAAATTCCACAAATTTGAGACTCGCTTTGACTATTTAATGCGTTTCATTTAGTGTAACCAAATCCTGAAAACACATAGGAAATTTGAACTACTTAAGCCAAGTTAACCTGGATATATTTTTGCCTGAATAAACTAAGTCTTAAAAATCATTAACATTGGGCTGGAGAGATGGCTCAGTGGTTAAGAGCATTGCCTCCTCTTCCAAAGGTCCTGAGTTCAATTCCCAGCAACCACATGGTGTCTCACAACCATCTGTAAAGAGGTCTGGCGCCCTCTTCTGGCCTTCAGAATATTGTATACATAATAAATAAATAAATATTTTAAAAAATCATTAACATCTTGATGATATACCTAACGAATGGCAAACTTCATTCTTAGACATGCTTAAATGGTGTGTGGAGGCCGCTGTATAATGATTCTTTTCTGATTAGCTTGGTCTGAGGACAGGGGGCTACCAGGAATTAATCCTAAGGCTGATAGTGAGTACTGGAGTCACTGCCTTCCCAAACTGCCTCTCAGTACTCGTTAGAAACAGTAACATTCTTTAAAGGCCAAATGCTGCTATAGGCCGTACGTAGAACCCTAATGTCTAAAGTTGCATTAAACTTATTCTTTTCCTCTCCTTCCTCTTACTCTTAAATTTGAAATTTAAGCCTGGAGAGATGGCTCTGAGGTTAAGAGCACTGGCTGCTCTTCCAGAGATCCTGAGTTCAGTTCCCAGCAACCACATAGTGGCTCACAACCATCTGTAATGAGATCTGGTGCCCTCTTCTGCTATGCAAGCATACATGCAGGTAGAACTCTGTATACATAATAAATAAAGCATTTAAAAATATGGGAAATTCAGTGAAATATTTGAAGACTATATCAGCCCTTGGGGTCAGTGAGAAGGCTCCTTGGGTAAAGGCACTTCTGCCAAGCTGCCACCTGCAGTGTAGTCTCTGGGTCACATGCGAAAGGAGAGAACCAGCTATTCCATAATTGTCTTCTGACATCCACACACTCTTTGGCATGCATCCCCCGCATGCACCCCCCCCACACACACATAATGCACTCCACATAAGTGTAATTTAAAACAAAAAGTATAAACAACTGGTTAAAAAAGTACTATGTAGTTAGTAATTAATAACTTTAGTAATTAATAACTTGTAAAAATCTGCAAACTCATTTGGTCCCACTTTGAATCTAGAGTTTAAAAATATGGCTAACATCAGCAATCCTTATAAATCATAATATTATAAAAGCCCAAACCCAACTACCTAAATACATATCAAATGATCCAGGAAGATATCACGAGTGGTTTGTATGGTCAGGTGTTGCAGGGGTACTGAGCAGGTAAAGATTTGTCCCAGCTTGACTGTCTGAGGCTTCTGCGGCACTGAGAACTGATTTCTCTGGAAATATTGTAACAAAAGGTATTTTAGCATGTTATGTTATCCTTCCCGTGTCCATAAGCGTTTCTCAGCCTGTAAAGCTCTTGTCCTGGAATGTGCTGGGTTTCAGCCATTCGTTCTAATGTTATTCCATCCTTTTTTCTTTTTAGATGTTTTTCCTTATTTAGAATAAAAAGACAGTAATTTTTCAAGAACCATGCATCTCTGATTTGGCCCAATACAAGTTGTTGGATATTGTCTCTTCCAAGGCAGGTTTTCTAAGTGAAAACCTTGTCTTTTCCAGATATGCGTTGTTTTGAAATGTCTCCAGATGTCTAAGATAATTTCAACAGAAGTTTAATTCATGTTGAAAGAAAGGTTATGTAGCCCTTGTGGTAACAACACAAATTGAGTCAGATATTAAGCAGTGACGGTTTGCTCTCCTCCTGGCTGTGAGGGGGTGGAGACTAGGCAAGCAGATCTTGTTCCTCTGGTGAAGTGTGTGAATCTGCAGGAATGACCATCCCATAAGGAAAGCTTATGAATATGGCTTTTGCAAAGAATTAGACATAATACTGTAATTTTAGGTTGTGCTCTGTATTCTTTCAGTGGGATTATTTAAGCTCTTTAGTGACCTTTGTTCTTCCCACTTAAAAGCTAATATGTAGTATATATTGTATAAAATGAAAATATTATAGCTTAGGGAAACTGTACATAAGGCATTGACTGGTTAAATGGAGGCATTTTTAATATGCAATTGTAAAACACCAAAAATATAGATTCATCTTTGATATGTAACACACTAAATGTATTTTGTACAAAATCTGATTTAAAAGGTGCCTTATTAAGTTTACCATTAATTGCTTTGTTCTATATACAGATTATGTCCAATGTATCATTTTTCAGTAAATAATCTTATTTTAGTATACTTCAGTGATGTGTTTTGTGATGTTGTTCTTGGATTTATTGTGCACCAGAAGTCCTCTATTGAAATTTTATAATAAGTGAGCCCGTGTACATATATACATTCCTGAATGTGCATTTCAGCTTCCAGAAACCCGGAACGTGGCTAGGTAAGTGGCCATACGTTTTTGCCTATATGTAGAGATTATGAACCTATTTATAGCAAGGGGATTTTTTTCCTTCTATAAAAAAATAAAGCGTTGTTTTCTGGTTATAAAAATGTGTATTTATAACAACTTCCGGGAAAAGCTAAAGGAAAGAATAAAGAAGCAAATAAACGACGTTTTATTGACAGGCACCACTATTTACATTTCATTGTCTTTTTTTTAAAGACTTCTTATGTATATAAGTGCTCTATTAACTTTATGCCAGAAGATGGCATCAGATCCTATTATAGATGGCTGTGAGCTACCATGTGGATGCTGGGAATTGAACATAAAACCTCTGGAAGAGCAGCCAGTGGTATTTTGTCTTTTTTTTTTTTTCTGTTTTTCGAGACAGGATTTCTTTGTTTAGCTTTGGAGCCTGTCCTGGCACTGGCTCTGTAGGCCAGGCTAGTCTTGAACTCACAGAGATCTGCGTGCATGATGCCACAGCCAGGTTCAGCCAGTGCTCTGCACAACCGAACAGTCTCTCCAGCCCTACTATTCACATTTGAATGTTTCTCTCCTGCGTGGTTTTTTAAATAGCATTAAGATCATGGTATTCTATTATGTGTTAGTTGAAGACATCATATATTGGCAGAGCATGGTAGCACATACCTTTAATCTCAGCACTCAGGAAGCAGAAGCCAGTTATCAGTCTGGTCTATAGATTAAGTTCCAGGACAGCCAGGGCTACACAGAAAAAACCTGTCTTGGTAAAAAAAAGAAAATCACCAAATACATTAGTCCATTATGTTCCACTCCTACAAAGGATGCCCTTAAACTTAGCTCAAGCAGTCCTGTGTCTCCCAAGTAGAGGAACTGCAGGTGCATAGCATAGGGTACAACTTAAAAAATGCAACTCACATCGAGACAGGGTTTCTCTGTGCTTGGCCCTGGCTGTCCTAGAACTTCCTCTGTAGACCAGACCGGCTTCGAACTCACAGAGATCTGTGCTACATAGTTCCAGGACAACCAGACCCGTTTTCTTTCTTTTTTTTTTAATATTTATTTATTTATTATTTATACAATATTCTGTCTGTGTGTATATCTGCAGGCCAGAAGAGGGCACCAGACCTCATTACAGATGGTTGTGAGCCACCATGTGGTTGCTGGGAATTGAACTCAGAACCTTTGAAAGAGCAGGTAATGCTCTTAACCACTGAGCCATCTCTCCAGCCCCCCCCCCCTTTTTTTTAAGGCAAACAAAAAACTTTCAAAAGTAAACATGTGACCACATAGAGGAAATAGCTTACTTCTATGCTCTTTTATTATTTCAGTTATTTTTTTATTGTTTGTGTTTTTGTGTTCAAAGAAAGGGTAAAACTGTGTCTTGCTTGTAGCCTAGGTTAGCCTCAAACTCTGTATACTCTAGCGCTGCCTGAGCTGCATCTTCAGCCCCCTCACAGAAAAACAGGTATTAAGCACCGTTGCATATAAACTCCATTTTGTCAGGCCCTGAATACAGGTAGGTATTTAGAGTTTCATTTGCATTGAGGGAAAGTTAAGCCTCTCGGTGCTGGCCTATCATTTGCACTGTGTAGGGTTATGTTCTTCAAGGCTCTTCCTTGCATTTGATGAGGCACCTTCAAGTGTCCACAGTGTCCTGCTGCCGTGAGAAGGAGCCCATTGGTTGGCTTTCCTTTACCCCACAGTGCCTTATTTCCCGCCTACATTGAGGCTTGCCACCTGTCATGTACTGTTGGCAATAAGTTGCCACTTGCACCTTCTGCTTTTAGGGAGCTAGACATGTTTCCGTCTTAAAAGAGTCAACTGGTTTAGTTATTCAACCGCATGCTTAGAGACAGCCCAGCGTGTTCCCTGCTGGAGCCCCCATCTCATGTCATCATAAAACAGTGCATTAACTACTCTTACTGTGAAATTGACAATTCAGAATAGAGTCTGCTTAAAAGAAACTTGTATTGCCTCAGTTTGAGAGACTGTCAGTCCATTGTGACATAGAAGGCATGGCAGCTGGGCTTGATCCATGGGAGTAGAACCTCTGACGGCCTCTTAGTGGTGGATCTGGAAGCAAAAGAACTGAGATCAAACTAGAATCTGATGACCCACTCAGGGTCTGCCTTCAGAACCACTTCTGTTAGGTTGGTCACAGTCACAAGGTTCCACAGACTCAAAACCAGCTAGGAGATAGCTCATTCATAAAGTGCTTGTCACAGAAACATGGGAACCAGAGTTCAATCCCCAGAGCCTGTGTGAAAACTCCATGCAGTCTCATTAATTTAGCACTTTGCATAACTGCTGTATGGGGTTGGGTTGGGAAATCAACAGCCTGCTTGTGCTTTCTCAGAGCTGTTTGAAAGAAGTTAATGAACTTGCGCCCTCTAAAGTCTCCCGGAATATTCTGTTAACCAATTCTGTGCAGTGGTCAACATCAGGAAAGTTGACCTGACACTGTCACAACAGTCAGTAATACCATAACCTGCAGGCTTCGTTCAGATTCTGCCAGTTCTCATAAAGTCCTCATGCTATGCTCTGGATAGTATAATGTGTTCAGTCCTTGGGTCTCCTGTACTTCTACTAGATAAAACATGTTTTGTAGTACTATTTTTAGGGAGGTGGACCTGATCTTGATTTGGAGTTTGGTCTCCTGAATGTTGGCACATCTGCACGTGCCATCCGTGCATCCCAGCGAGATTCTGGCGTCAGTGCGTCATTAACGTCAGTGCCAGCCACTTGTTTCCTGTGTGGGTCAGGGTTTCTGCGGCTGTGATAAAGTATTGAGACCAAAAGTAGCTTGGGGAAGGAGTTTGTTTAGCTTACACTTACATCACAGCCCCATCGCTGAAAGAAGTCAGCACGAACCTGGAGGCAGGAACTGAAGCAGAGATCATGGAGAAGTACAGCTTGCTGGCTTGCTCCTCATGGCTTGTTCAGCCATTCCCGGGGTGGCATTGCCTCCAGTGGAAGATCACCACAGACTTGCCTATAGGCAATTTTTAGGCATGTTCCCAATTGAGAGTCCCTCTTCTCATTTGGCTTACTTGTGTCAAGTTAACATAAAACTAACAGAACATCATGATAGCTTGTTTCTGTAAAGTTGCCCTTCTGTTTGTATTGAGTGCATTAAGGGGGGTGCTTTGGACTACATAGTACTTGTGTATAGGTAGTTGCTTTTCTATTTATTTATTTATTTATTTATTTATTTGGTTTTTCAAGACAGGGTTTCTCTGTAGCTTTGGAGCCTGTCCTTGAACTAGCTCTTGTAGACCTGACTGGCTCACAAAGGTCGCCTGCCTCTGCCTCCCGAGTGCTGGGATTAAAGGTGTGTGCCACCACTGCCCGGCTCTTTCTCTTTTTTTTTTTTTTGTTGTTGTTGTTGTTGTTTTGTTTTATTTTGTATTCCAAGACAGGGTTTCTCTGTAGCTTTGGAGCCTGTTCTGGAACTCACTCTGTAGACCAGGCTGGCCTCGAACTCAAAGAGAAATGCCTGCCTCTGCCTCCCAAGTACTGGGATTAAATGCATGCAGTGCCACCACCCGGCTGCAAGGTGGTTTTCTGGTGCCATCATTATTCTATTCGGTTTCCATTGACACTGCGGCGTGAGGAAGCACTTTCCTTATATAGCTTTTCAGTATGGACTCCTAGGCTCCTGTTTCTTGGGTTATATCCCATTGGGCCATTGAGTCTACTTGACACATGCCTTTCCTATTTTGAACACTTCTTGCTTGATACATTGGAGGTTCTAAGCCCCTAGCATAGGGCCAGCCATTTCACCAGGGTTGGATGGATTCAGAATGAAGCCCTGAATGGCAATGAGCCTGGTTTATGTTTCCACTTTCCGGGGCTGCCGATGGGATTCAGTGATAGAACACTTGCCTGCCACATATGAGGAGGCAACAGATTCTTAGAAAAAACAACTTCCCTCGTTGTTTCTACAGATGTTCCATGTTCCCAGATCTTCAGTTTGTGGAGTTTGGGGTCTTGTGCACGACTGTACTTTTCCACAGATGTTTGGCAAGGGGTAGAGTTGTTCATCATTGCATTAACCTGTCCTCATCTCCCTGAGTGCCTCAGCTTCCCAGTAAGGGCAGGTGATGGGACAGGACCAGTTAGAAAAAAAAAAAATCAAAAACAATCCTCATCTTGTCTGCTCCAAATGATTCTGGCTTTCCCCCACACCTTTTTGTTTTAAACCAGAATTCCAGAGAATTCTGTCACTGGAGTTTTCCTGATCAAGGATGGAAAATTCAGGCTAAAGCCAGGTGAAGAACTTTCATGCTTTTGACAGATGAGTCATAAAATAGGAGAGGGAGCCTTTAATAATGCCACTCTCATCACCCAGAGTCTCGTGCATGCTAACCAAGGGCTCTCCTAGGATGCCACACACTTCTGAACACCTCTTAGACTGTATCCTCAAGTAAAAGGTGTTGTGTATCTAGCCAAGACTATATAAGGTCGCCTGTGGTTCAGCTCTTTGCCTCCAGAGGGTCAGCAGCTGTCCAGTATTGGGCTTAGGGCTGGCTGCATAGTTCTGCTCCAGAACTCCCAAGTATTTGGGGCAGTTTAAGCTTGAGGCTCTCTAGCAATGCTAATATTTGGGGTTAGGATTCCATGTTGCTATCTTCAAAGAATCACTAAGCCATCCTGGTGCAGCTCTGGTGCTTTTTCATAGCTATTTCAGGGGCTTCAGGGGTTTTAAGCTGCCGAGTCAGTCCCGTGTCTCCCTGC